TATCTTCCTCTCTCGAGACTAGGTCCACAGCCGCGCCCATGCAATCCCAGTCAGAGCTGGCAAGCGCATTCGCGAGATCCGTCAAACAGATCACATGCGTCTGGCTACAAGAGTGGAGCCTCCAGCTGGTCTGCAGAGCTGGCAGGATAGCATTATGTCGGCGTCGGCCTTCACAGAAGCCGCAATCATCGACTGTCGGGGTGGCCTTGGATTTCGCCGCAAAAAAAAATTGTGCCCAGGGCGGGGAGCACATGGACAATCCGCCGGCCCTTGGGACGCAAAATCGAGCTCTTATAAATCGTTGCGTGATCGCTGGCGTGCTAGCACAGGGGAGAGATTCCAAAGTGCTGGATTTCCCAGAGATCAAGCTCGAGCAAAAACTAAAGCGTATCACATCTAGGCATCTTCTCTGGAGCATGGAGCAGCACACCCCCTATCATCTTGATCTTACGATTCGGAAAGGGACATGTGCCACACTTCCACCGGAGCAGTACCCGTCGGAACGTGTATCATTCGAGGGGCTCGGCTGATGTGTCGCGTAATTTTATTCAAATCGCCTTCCGCTGATGCCTGGACGTCGGCATTTCGCTCGAAGGGGAAGTCTTGGAACTCCCGCTCGGATCTCCAATCCTCTCAGTTTTACGCTGAAGCACTCATCCCGCCCTCCCGCCCCTCACGACCCAGAGCCTCCATCCACTCCTGAGGAGACGGCAGAGCTGTGCAGGCAGTCTGCCCGTCGCGCCGCTTCGGTCCGTACCGACAGCGCGCCGCGGCCCTCGCTGCTCGCATGGCCTCGGTTGGGCGCCCTCGCCCCGGGGTCTCCCGCGCCTCTGCCAATAAGCCGCCCCTCCGATTTCCGGCATGCTATGGCGTCGCTGCTGAAAAAGTGCGCGGCTTGAAACAGCTGACTCGGTTTCGATTTTCTCCACTTCGTCATCCGACCATCCTAGTCGGGAGCCCTTCAGTTCGACCATCTGCCCAAGCAAATCTCTCCGTCGGGCCGCGAATTGCCGATGTGCATTTGTCGTCCGTTGTGGTTGCAAACAGGCGTGCCCAGCCGCGACTAGGCTCTGCTCCAGTGTTTCGAAAATGTGACCAGACGCGGCGTGTTCTTTTAGCCACAAGGGGTGTGTTCGATTGAGCTTTTCCTTGACTGCAGTGGAAGTTCTTCCCGCCCCCTCCCCGTCCGCACCGTCTCCAACATCTGATCGCGGTGCCACTTATGACCACTCTGTGTTGTTTGAGCGGCCTCTGCTGCGTGCTTGTTTTATTCCAGGCAGCAGTGCAGCGACAGGTGATCTTTCGGGGGAGTCCCTTTGAAAGCCTGAAATTTGGCGCCTAGCTTAGATGACACTCCTGCCGGTGCAATCGCGAAGCGCACTTGTTTAGGAATCGACAGGTCATCGATCCTGCTCGAGTTCTTCGTGCCGAAAGAGGTGTGATCTGGGCGGTGTGACAGAGTACTGCATGCCAGCGTTGGGTGTTGTGCCACCACCTTTCGAGCAGTCCTTCCCGCCCCGCCCCGCAGCCGCTCCGCCGGCCCAGGCCCCACCACCCCATGACCAGTATCCTGCCATTGCTTCCGGTTCTCCAGGAATCGTCGGCACGAGCGACATGGGCACGGAAAGAATGGGTACAATGCCCAACATCAGCCATGCGCAAAGGGGGGTGGGGGGAGGGGGGAAGGCTTCTGAGAAGCATCCCTGCTTCTTAGAAGGCGCGGGCCTTATGTACAGATGTAAGGCCGGCGCCTTCTAAGAAGCAGCCTCCTTCTAAGAAGCCCTCCCCCCTCCCTCCACCCCCTTGTGCGCGCCGCCAACAACAGCAGTTCGTGCTCATTTTGAACCGGACTCGCTGTCGGCGTCGCCGCGGCCTGTGTACATTTGAGACAGGAGGCCGCCTGCCCAAGAGCTGCCGCTGTTGGTTTGGGGCAACATGTGTTATTGAGTATTGTGATTGTTGTTTCCGTACCCATTTCGGGCGTCCAAACATTTGCCGAGTCCATTGTTGAGATCGACATGAAGGATGAGAGTTGCCCTAATGGAGAGGGCCGATAGGAGCGACTGAAGCCAATTCGTCATCTGTTTGACGACTCCCAGGCGCTGTCCCTTTTGACCCGCCTTGTTCTGGACGTGGGGGAACATACATCGAGATGAAGTTCACGTCTAAGTTGCCTCGTCTCACCCGAACAGCTAAACACCTACCAAGGGTTCCTCGGGGGGGTGGCCACATGTGCTTCACCGACTTTCTGTCCACGCCCGCCCCGAGGATTATGGTGACCCCACAACTACATGTACTATAACGTGGTTCACGTGCGGTCCAAAGGGCCTCAATCACTGTCTTACTGGGTTTTACCGCTCACTCTGCGGGTCAGAAGAGTATGTTTTGCCGAGTATACTCTCTGCTGTGTCCCTGCTAACAGTACGAAATCAAAGTTGCTGCATTCCTCGGCGATCTCGGAGAGGCGATCCCCGCCTGCCGACTGCGGGTTGTACCCCAGAGTACGCACACGGTCGATGGCATTCCTGTTCATGGAACACTTGTTGTAGTCTTGCCAGCGGACCTCCTTATTCCATCGCGCTCGTCGGAGTGTGGCCCCTCGCGGAGGGGCTGCGCGGAAGAGAGATACGCCCCGTTCTCTCAATCATTCGATAATAGGGGCGTCTCCTCCTCCTCTTCCTCCTCCTCCTGTTTCCCTCGTTTTCGGCTTTGTGGGCCTCCTGGGAAGCCCTCTTCGCCACGGCAGGACTCGCCCCGACGTCCTGGCCAGCACGCGCCCTGCAAGAGGCCCAGGAGCACCTCCCCCGAGGGCGGCCCCGCGTGGCCTGGCGGGGCGCCGCGGGGCCCGCCGTGGCGCTCGCGGCCGCCGCGCTGCTCGTTCTGCCGGCGCTGCTGGCGCCCCTCGCCGACGGCGCCGCCCGGGCGGCCTTCCTGCAGCAGCCGGCCGCGCCCGCGGCGGCGGCGCCCGCCGTGGGCGCGCGCGGCGTCGGGGAGGGCGCGCCGCCGGCCCGCCGCTCGCTGCTCGGCGGGGCGCTGGCGGGTGGCTTCGGCCTGGCGGCGGGCGTTGGCTCGGCGCCGGTGCCCGCGGGCGCGGCGGAGGGGCCGAAGGCCGCCGTGGATGGAATGGTAAAGAGAGCGCTGTCAATTGGCGACCAGCGGACCAACTGCGAACCCTACCCCTGCTGGTCCAAAGGACGGGGGCGTGTCGGGCGCCCGCGCTGGGGCCCACTTAGCTGCGGACATCCTTCGAATTCCGAGCTCCAGCTGGCGGTTCAGAAGTCTGACCTGTAGGGGTAAGGTGCACATGTGTCTGCTTGATAAACAGAAGCGTTCGGAGCTCCGCGGGAATTTTTTGGATCGACGCTGGCCCCCCTGGCAGCGCCTCTGGCGCCGCCCAAGGCGCGCTCCGCACGCCAGGGGGTCTAGCGCCGATCCAAGAGATTTGCGCGGAACTCCGAAAGTATATGTTTATGACGTTTCTCTTGATCGACCGAAGGACAAGGGTCCTGAAGGAAAGCGGTCCTGAGATTGTTTGCAGTTTTTTGCCTCAAGGAGCCCTCCACGGGCCCCAGTATTTCTTAGAAAACGGATCAGGATGGAAATATTTCTTGGGGGGGAGTCCCCTGGAGTCCAGGACATGTTTCTCTCAAGACCCGCGTGCTCCATGCCAACAGAGGTGACGGCGCAGTGCCAGTTTCTGATCAGGACAGCCGGGGGAGGCCCCGAATGCACCGCCACCGTGCCTGGGCAGGGCCCCTCCCTCTTGCCAGGGAAACGTAGGACTCGAGGTGGCCGGGTCTCAGGTCTGCCGCCGCTTTGGGACTGTCCTGGCGCGAATTCGGATGGTTCTGTCTTGAGATGGTTGCAGCGGGAGGCCGCGTCAAACTTCGATCCAGGTTTCGTCATTCTTCCGACGGCCGGCTCCATTACAGTAAGAGGCCCCACAATTTGAGTCTTGCGTCTCCCCGTCTTTGGCTTCGGCCGTGGGGGCGGTTCCTTGCACACCACTGCCAGTGTCCAGAGGTCCAGGCTTGCTCTGACCCACGTGGCGATGCCCCTCGACGGACAAAAGTCTTGTGAGGATTGGCACAGCGATGTATACAGAGGGAGCCCATGCCACGAAACACCCCGCTTGCCTCCAGGGTGCCCTGGGTTTCTTGAGTTTCGACGGCGTTGCGACGGAAAACGTGACGCCGCCCTGCCAAAAATCCATGGACATCCTGGGGTCTCAGGGTTAGGTCTCTTGTGGAAAGTGTGGCAGGTCTCTTGTGGTCGAGCCCCGACCGCACGTGCGGCCGTCGCCGGTCGTCTGGGGAGCATTTTCGCCCCCCGGGCCACGCCTTGCCGACCCACCGTCGCCGAGCAGATGTTGCGCACGGGTGGTTGCCGTAAACCAGCGGCGATGGATCGGGGGAGCGTAAGACCCAGGTTTGCCAGGACTCGGGTTCGCCATCGTTTTTTGACGACCGCGCCTCGGATTTTGACGAGGAGGAGTTTCGTGGGATGTCTGCAGCGGGAGGCCTCGTCAAAATGCAGGCTCGGCCTCGTCATTTTTGTTGACGACCTCGTCGGGGATTTCCGAGTCCCCTGTACCCAGGTCTTACGTCCCCCTGAATGGAGGGGGGGAAATCAGAAGGAGAAGGCCATCTCAGAAGGCGGCGGGACGTCTCAGAAGCCCTCGCGCCTTCTGAGGGGTGTTCTGTGTCTTCGGAGGAGGCCTGGAAGACTTTCAGAGAAGGCCGGGGGACTTCCGAGCCCTCTGAGAAGGCCCGCCCCTTCTCGCTTTCCCCCTCCGGGCTCGCCGCCGACACCCAGATGTTGCGCACGGGCAGTTGCCGCAAACAACAGAAAAACACCAGGGCCCAAGATGGCCCTGGCCGGTCACGGTGGTGCCCTTTCGTTGCCTCCTGCGCAGGATAGGGTACGACAAGACGTTGCCGCTGCGGCGCGTCGTCATCGACGTCTACGGCGAGGAGGCGCCCGTTCTCGCGAAGACGTTCATGCAGGCTTGCACCGGCACCTACCCGGGGAAGGGCGGGATCAGCGGGCGGTATCAGCTCGCCACGATGAGCTCCGTGTCGAAGGACCGGATGCTCGGGTTTGCGAATTTCCCGGGGGGGAACTTCCTTGCCAAGAAGAACCCCGCGGCCGCCGGCGAGTTCCTGGAGAAGATCCCCCTGGCGGGGTCCGACACCAAGACCGACGAGGTCAATCAGCTTCGGCACGACCAAGTTGGCCGCGTCTCGATGCGGTGGCGCGCCCAGGGGGGAACGGCAGACGGGGGCGCGGGCCTTCTCAGCAAGCTCGGGCGGCGCGCGGCTTTCTGAGAAGCCTGCAGGGCCTTCGCCGATGCCCCGCTGCCTTGGAGAAGGCCCGCCCCCCCTCTGCATTCCCCCCCTCGACGCGGCGCCGATCCATGAGCAAGGGCGGGGGCTCCTTCAACTTCGTCATCTCCCCCGTCAAGGACGCCAACCGCCAGGTGTCGACCTAATCGGTGTGCTGGCGATTTCCTGGGCCGTTTTCGTTTCGGCTTCGGTTCGCAGCGGAGGCGGAACGAAGACACAACGAGGGGAAACGAAAACGAAGAACACTGTTTTGGTCAAGCCCTGGTCAAGGACGCCCCCTGGCTGGACGAGCAGCAGCGGGTGGTCATGGGGCAGGTCTCCGAGGGGCTGGACGTCATCGGGGGGGGCCCTCGCCGGCGCCGCCGGCCCTCGCCTTCTGTGGCTCTCGGAGGGGAATCGGGGGAGGCGAGCGAAAGGGAAGGCGGGGAGGAGGAGAGGAGGAAGAGGAGGACGGGGGGAGGGGAAGGATTCGAAGAAGAGGAGCAACAAGAAACGGCACAAGCATAAACTTTTGGCGCTCTTCGCGGAGCGCCAGCAGTTTATGTGTATGCCGTTCTTTCTTCTTCTAGGGATGGAGGATGGAGGATGGAGGAGGGGGAGGAACGGAACGGAATGCACGAAGGGAGAGTGCACAGCACAACATATTTGTGCATACGCAGGGTTTTTGTTGCCTCTGGCGGCTTCTTTAGCACGAATTACCTCAACTAGAGCAGCCATTCGCTGCTCCTGAGAGGGGGCGGCTCTTAAATGAAAATGCTCGCCACGAGGGGGAAGAGGGGGAGGAGGGCAGGAGGAGAAGAGGGGAGGGAGAGGAGGTAAGGAGAGAGAAGGGTTCGGGGGAGGAGGGGGAGGCTGCAAGTGAGAGAGGGAATGGGGAGGATGATCACGGCGGGCGCTTTCGTGAGTATCGGGTGTTCGCCTTGGGCCCTGGACGTCGTGGTCGTGGTCGTGGTCGTTTTCTCTTCTCGTCGTCGTTGTCGTCGTCGTGGTCGTGGTCGTGTTCGTGGTCGCCATCTCGGGGAAGCTGGTACAAACGCGGGCGGAGCCAGCCCTTCGCTGTTTCCGGCCCTGGCCGGTCTCTTTCTGCGCCTTCCCAGGATGAGCACGTTCGAGGCCCAAGAGCCTCTCCGCAGAGGTGATCGATTGGCCTTCCGGGGCTCCCCGCAGCTCTGCCCAGGACGCTTCGGCAGGGGCATTGTCAGCCGCTTGCAGGGGCGCGAGGATGACCGCGCGTCGCGGCCTGGACCGCAGAGGCGTCCTTCTCCAGGGCGGTGATTTGTCAGGGCGCAAAGATGATCGCGCTTCGCGCGGCACGATGCGCAAGAGTTGGCAACGCGAGGCAAGGTGGGCTTCCTCTTGTTGGGAGCCGGTGCGGATAGCCGAGCTCAACAACCTGAAGGGTTACGAGAAGGGCGGCAGCATCCTCCAGTTCTTGCCGGCCACCTGGGGGGGTAGCGCGGAGGTGGAATACGGCAGATTCGTGCCGCGGCGGCGACGTTGGCTCATCGGCGAAGTCAGCACGAGAGATGGGGGTGACAGCCTCTCTGGGGGGGCGCTCCGAGAGTCGCGACCGTTCAAAATCGGAAGGTCCACGCGGTGCCAGAAGCCACGGGCCTACGTCTCGAAGAACGAGCAGTTACATGCACACAAATGTTCGGAGTTCCGCGCGGATCTCTTGGATCTATGCTGGACCCCCCTGGTGGCGCCTCCGACGCCGCCCCTGGCGCGCTCAGCGCGCCAGAGAGTGGAGTCCAGCGCCGATCCAAGAGATCTGCACGGACGTCCCAAAGATTCCGTTTATGCCGTATTGTGTTCTTCTAACGTCGGCTAAGCAGGAGTGTGTTGTGATTCAGCGGGTAGGACGAGGACGAGGACGACGTCGATGAGGAGGAGAGGGCACAGACGGTTTAATTTGGCGATCGAGGAGTTGGTGGAAGGAAGAGGTGGGGAGTCGGTGTTCGATTCCGAAGGTTTCTCTCGGCCACACGCCTCGCATCTCGTTGTTCCCAAGTGTGTGTGTGTGCCAAGTGACCAGTAATATTGACATATGTCTTCAGCGACGATTGTTCGTGGAGCCCACTCGAATCCTGGGGTACCATCCATCCAAACAATTTGCCGAGGGCCCTTGGGCGATGGCCAGGCCTCTTTTTTCGCTCTCGATCAAAAGATAGCTTGTATGTAAAGAGCAAGTTTGAATTTCATAAGCACGAGTCGACTACCCCTTAACAGTGGCTGATATTGCACTCCGACCACCCATTGTGACACCCGCCCTCAGCGAAACAAGTCCGTGCTCGTGCACTCTTTGTCACAAAGGGCTTCGTGCTCCTCGTGCTGTCTTTGTCTCATCCGTGGCTGCCTCGTACTTCGGGCCGGGCGAAAGGGGGGGATTGGGAAAGGAGGGGTTACGAAATTTGCTGCTGCATGCAGCTGGTTTCGGCCTCAGCGAGGGGCCCATTCCACGATACATGGGCGCCTCCCGGCGCCGGGAGGCGCCGGGAAAATCAGCTACGTGAGCTGATTCTCAACCCCCCCCTTTGCTATCCCCCCCTTTCGCCCGACCCGAGTACTGCCCCCTGCCCCTTGTCCTGCTCCTTGTGCCCCGCTCTCCTCGACTGCGCAGTGCCCCCTGGCCGCCCCCGACAGCACCCGCCCACGGGCGCAGGCCCCCCCCCTCCCGGCAGACCGTGGACATGCCTAAGCGCGTCATCCTTCGCTCTGCGCCTGCGAGGAGGAGGAGGGCGAGGAGGAGGAGGATGAGGAGGAGGAGGAGGAGGAGGGCGAGGAGGAGGAGGATGAGGAGGAGGAGGAGGAGGAGGAGGAGGAGGAGGAGAGGAGGGAGGAGGGAGGAGAGGAGGAGGAGCAGGAGGAGGAAGGAGGAGGAGGAGGAGGGGAGGAGGAGGAGGAGGAGAGGAGGAGGAGGAGGAGGGAGGATTGGAGGAGGAGAGAGGAGGAGGAGGAGGAGGAGGAGGAGGAGGAGGAGGAGGAGGGAGGAGGAGGAGGAGGAGGAGGAGAGGAGGAGGAGGAGGAGGAGGAGGAGGAGGAGGAGGAGGAGGAGGAGGAGGAGGAGAGGGAGGAGGAGGAGGAGAAGGAGAAGGACCAGGAGGAGGAGGAGGCGGTGCCGTCGCCGCCGGTGGACGCGAAGGGTGCGAAGACGAGCGCCCGGCCCCTCGAGGCCGCCATGAAAGCCCTCCCCGAGGGCCCGGCTTTCGCAGCGTCCCGTGCCGGCCCCCAGGCGGACATCGACTAGTTGAAAGCCAGCACTCGGGACGCCAAAACCCGTCGGCGCCCGTCTGGGCGATGCTTGCGCTGCGCTGGCTCGCGCGCTCTCGCCGCTCCGAGGCCGCTCAGGCGCTCGAGTTCGCGCAGGCTGCCCTCATGGCCTCCGACGAGGAGATCGCCCGCTTCACGGCCCTTGCAGGCAAGTCCGACGAGCCCATGATCGACGCCGACCCGCAGGCCGTCCTCGCCAGCATCTCCCGCTCGGCACCCTCACGGAATCGCTGGAGGCCGACATCAACGTCAACACTCTGCCAACCGAGGCCGCCACTTCGCAGGTGAAGTACCTCATCCAGCGCACCATCGACGTGGCCTCTGCTGCCCGCGTGCCGCGGCGCCCGCAGGGCAAACGCGCGGCCCCCGTGTTCGTGCGCCACACCACCCAGAAGGCCAGTGCCAGGCAGTCCACGCCGTTCGGCCATGGCTTTGTGCCCGCGAAGAAAAACGGGCACACCATGGGGAAAATAAATGTCTCGAGCGCCGACGAGGCAGGGCAGCACGACCTGGCGTCCCCTCAGCCGTACCCTCAGCGAGGTTGTTCTAGCGGCTGCACGCCTCACCTTTGCCCCCTATGCTCTGCAAGGCCCAGCGGGCTGCCCGACATTGAGTGCAACAAGCTCGATACCGACGTTGTCCGCGCACAGGAAGGCCGCTCTGCACCACCGGATGTACGCGACGGAATACACTACACCATGTTCCTTGGAAGTGCAGACAGTGCCGGGTCCTGCGGCTGCCAGGTCTGGGTGCGCTCCCGATTGCGGTTTCAGCGTCGGATTGTTCGCCGTGTTTCAGCTCGCCTCTCCATTGCGGCCTGCGGCTATCCAGTGCTATGTTATAGTTTGCTTGTTTGCGTGCGGGCACGCTCCGACTGAGGCCAGCTCAGCTTCCACCGAGGATTATTTCTGGGACCCCCATCAAATGTGCCCTCCTTGACATGGCGCGCAAGTTTCCCAAGTACCTTCGCGCCTCTGTCATCGATTGCGACGAACGCGTCTACAGCCGCGGTCATCATACTGGCACGTGCGAACCGGAACCATTGACGGACAACGGCTCTCGCCTCGTGGACCACGTCTCCGCGTGTTCCATGGTTGCCACTCACACTTTCCTTGGCGCCGGATACACGCGGAGGTCCAAGCACCGCGAGGCTTCCCGCATCGACTTCATTTTCCTCGGCGTCGAGAATTTCAACCACTTGGTCAACGCCTCCGCGGTTCCCGACGTCGTCCTCTCGTACACCACAAACGAGGATGGCCGACTCGTTGTATCCGAGATCTGCGGATTTGCCAGGCGCCCGCGATGGCGCCAACGCTGGAAGCAGCTGGCCGAAGGTGCGCGCCCGCGTCAAAAAGGCCGCACGTTGCGACCCATCGCGCTGCCAGAACTTCATCGATGTGGCGCGGCAGTTTCGCGCGTTCAACCGTCTGTGTTCCGATCGTTCTTGGGCTCGTTTATGGGGCACCCCTCGGAAGCCGTGGATGACAACTTCCACGGGGAGCTCAGTCCGCTCGCTCGATCCTCTCCGTCGCGTGGCCAGCGATGCGCGTCGACACCCCCTGCAGGTTGTCCTTAATTATACCTGCGTGCTTGGGGTCTCCTGGCGCGCCAAGCCTTTCATCCCGGGCGTCGTCTTCAGGTTCAGTCAATTTTGGCCCCTGGGCTGGCGCGCGGTTGGCCGCGGCAACGGCGCTCGGCGTGATTTTCACGCCTTGCGCGCGACTTCTGTCGCAGCGAGGCCAGCCACCAGAGCCGCGCAAATAAACAATAATTATAAAGTCCAAACCAAACCTGCCGCCGCCACTGCCGATCGCGCTGCCTTCGTCGAAGCCAGAGCAGCGGAAGCTCACGCTGCCCACGCCCAGCCAAAGTCGCACGCGACCTACGCCATCTGCGCATTTGGCGGTCGCTTCGCGTCCAAGCAGCCTCAGCGCGTGGAGAAGCCCTCGCTCTGAAGCCGAAATCAGGAACGGTGGTCTCAGCATTGCACCGGCGTCTTCAAGAGCACCCCTGTTTCCATCGAGCAGTTTCGCAGCACCCCGCTTGAGGCCCCAATCATCGACGACTGCGTCGACGTCTCCCCCATCCCGCGTCGAGGGGGCCCTGATGCGCCTGAAGTCCAACCGCAATAGCAGACGTGAAGACATCGCTGCTGAGGTGTTGCGCGGTGGAGGTGGCGCGGTGACCTCGAAGTTGTCCTAGGCGCGCGGTTGCGCGTCTCATCCGAGGTCTGGCCTGCTACTTGAGCGGGCAGCCGCATTGTGGGCGTCCACAAAAAGAAGGGTTCCAACCTGTTTGCGATGAGCATAGCCGCATCCACCTCGACAACAATCACATTAGCAGGGGCCTGAAGGAGATCCTCAATGACCAGATCAAGCCGCAATGCGTGGCAGGGATGCCCGCGTCCCATTTTGCGCCGTGTCTCGCTGGGGCGCCGGCTTTGCCTTGCACGTGGTCCTCGCCTTCAGCTCGGCATCTTCATCCTGCGCGTCGACCTGTCCATGGCTTTCGACGAGGCTTTGCGCGAGCTGGCCCTGGGAATCCGCCTCGACTGCAAGGCCCCCAACGAGCGCGTCGCCTCCTTCGGCCTCGCTCCTCACCAGGTGTTCTTGGCCATGGAGGTCGCGTCCACGCGCGGCCCTCTCACGCAGCAGTTAACCTCCAGTCGGCGAGTTGGCCTATGCGGCGACTTAGACGCGGCCGTCAGCGCGAGGCTCGGCGGCAAGCAGGGGCGCAAGTTTGGCAGCTCCGTTGGTGGCCCGTGCCCCGTCCACCGTCTGCTCCTTCGCGACGCTCTCCTCCGAGCTGGCGTCGCTCTTGGCGCCCGTCGGCGCGGCCCCGAGACTTCCTCTCCCCGGCGGAGCGCGACAGTGCCGACGACGCCGCCGCTCTTATAGTCGACGCGGTTTTCGTCGACAACGAACGCTTGATGTTTTGTGCCAAGACTGCCTCAGCGGTTGACGCCTGCATCCGTGTTGCCCTCGCTTCTTTGAGCGGGGCGTTTAGCTTGCTCCAGTTCGAGATCCATCGGGCGCCCGGCAAGACAGAGCGCGGCATCGTGCACCTGGGAGGAAGAAAAAAGCCGCAACCCATATCAAGCCCGCCGCGCGTCGGCCAGGGTGACTCCATGGTCGTGCGCGTCCCCAGTTCGGCGAACAACACCTCTGTCGTCCACCAGTACAGGTACCTCGGCGGCGTCATTGAGATAGGCGGCAGCAGCGTGACCGAGGCCCGGGCTCGGTCCCAGGCAGCCGCAGAGGCGCACAGCCCGGTCTCAGTGGGCATGCACGGGAACAGCTTGTTCCCGTTGCAGCAGCGGTGGAGCCTCCTCCGTTCGCTTGTTTATAGCGCTTGCTTTCCAACGCTCACGTCCGGGTCTGGTCCCTTGCGGCATTACGTTTCTAGACTGCGACCTACAGGAGGTGTCTGCGACGCCTTACTGACCAATGCAGGCATGGCCTCAGTGCCTCTGACTTCGAAGTTCGCCGCAACCGGAAGGCACCATCTATTGATCGCGTGCCCTGGTGCAAACGATTGGTGTGTTTTGGCAGTGTCAGCCGCCAGGGTCCCACCGAGCTACACTCACCTCTCGTCCCTTGCCCTCCACTGCCCCGCCCCCCTTAGGTGGAGCTTGTGCTGGAGGACCTACAGCGTCTGTTGCGCATGTCGGATATGTGTTCCTGTTTCCCTGACCCTTCCGAGTCTTTCGCCACGTGGGCTTAATGCATTATCGAGTCTCCAGCTCGCTTTTCCCACGCTGTCAAGTGTAGATTATTCGTGGAGTCGGTGTGCGACCTTGGCACTCCGTCGCTCACTTCTGCCAGCTCCCCTGTTTCACCTTTCAAGTGTGATTCGTGTGGTTGCGCTTTCGTCTCCGACAGGGCCTTGCCTTGCGCTCGCATCGCCGTGCCAGACATGGCACCCAGGTTTCCCTGAGGCCGCGTTGTCTTGTTGATGAAGCGTGCCAGGATTGCAGCACAAAGTGCCGGTCTCGTTCTTGTTGTCTGCTCACTTGTGCGACTCTCGTCGCACTCGCTGTTGGACGGCAGTATGCGCTATGCCAGCGTCGTCGTCGGTGTCGTCGTCGTCGCCGCCGTTGTCGTCGTTTTCGTCGTCGTCGTCGTTTTCATCGTCGTCGCCGCCGTCGTCGTCGTCGTCGTCATCATTATCATCGCCGTCATCGTGTTTGTAAAACTATCAGCTTCCGAACGCTCTCGCCTCGACAGTTTAGACAACGATCTGCGTCGCGAGGCCCGCCGCAGCGGCCATTCACGCGCGCTGTCCGTTAGGCATGCCTTCACTTCCACTGGAAGGTCCGTTGATCGCTGCACCCGCTTGTGCCCCAGCCACGAAACTGTTATACCATCTTGCGGCGGATCTGATCCAAGCTTCGAGGAATAATTATATACACATATATATATATATACATATATACATGTATGTACAGATATCGCTCTCCCTCTCTCTCCCCTCTCTCTCCTTCGCTCCCTCCGTCCGTCCCCTCCTCATTCCCTCCCCCATCCATTCTCTTCCCTTCTCCTTCCTTCTCACCACTTCGCCGTCTCCTCATCCCTCTCCTCGGCCTCCTCCTCTGCCTCCTCCCCCTGACACTCCTGCCCCTCCGTGGACTTTTCTTCGGCTCGCGCCGACCCCCCATTGCCGCCCTCGGAGGAGCCCCCGGGCAAAGGCAGCAGCAACGCGTACTTGAAGGATTCGGCGGGCCGATAAGAGTGGGCGAGACCGTGTACGGTAGGTTCGCGCCGCGGCGATGCGTTCAAGGTCGAATGTTGCTAGCTGCTCAGAATCGGCCGACCAGACAGTCCACGAGCCACGGCGGTGTCTGAGGCCAACGCCCATGGCATCGTTGACGTGCCGAGGTGTCAGGGCTGCCGCAAACGCAAGTTGGTTGCCGGAAGCATGCGTTTGTTATGCAGATTCGGGGCCTACGGGCTCCCGGCGGTTCTAGAGTAGGCATCCAGCCTGGGGAGGGCGGTCAAACACGCGCATGTGTTGTGGTGTTCTTGCTCATCATCCCCGTATCTTTTTTCGAGAAAGAAGGATTGGGGAGCGCGTATTACAAACGTTATGTATTTCAGTACAGTGCGTCTGCAGACGTTTCTCAATCAGTGCAGCCCAAGCAGCGTGAGACCGACGATGAAGCAGGTTGGCAAGGAGGAGGTGGATTGAAGGAGCGAGCTATGTTTACATATATATATATATATATATATGTATGTGTATAATTAGAGAGAGAGAGAGAGGGAACACAAAAAAAGAAATAAACACATATAAACAAACAATAATACGAACATGAAGAGAGAGAGAGGGGGGAAAAAAAGAGAGAGAGAGAGAGAGACAACAACAACAAAGAGGGGGAGAGAGAGAGAGAGACAGAGGGAAAGAGAGAGAGAGAGAAGGCAGAGAGAGAGAGAGATGGAGAGATACAGAGAGGAATACATAGAGAGAGAGAGAGTAAAACACAAGGATAAATAGAGAGAACTGGAAAGAGAGAGAGAGAGAGGGAGAAAGAGAGAGAGAGAGAGAGAGCGAGAGAGAGAGAGAGTAATAGCAATGCGGGACAGAGAAAGAGAGAGGGATAGAGTGAGAGAGTACAAGAGAGAACTAGATAGGGAAATAGTGATACATAGTACATATATATGTGTAAAGAGAGAGAGAGAGAGAGAGGGAGAGAAAGAAATATAACGATATCTATGTATATAGAGAGGGAGAGAGAGAGAGAGAGAGAGAGCCACAGAGACATATTATGAGAGAGAGGTATGCAGAGTGAGAAATCGAGCAAACATAATAGAGGTAGGGAGGGAGACGATAGGTGGTGCAAATAACCGAAAGCAAGCCCCCCGCGTGCATACATCTGTCGGGATTTGCCGTCAGCACGCGCACAGTCGTGTACCTCTTACCACCCAAACACATACTTCCAAGGCTGGTGGCTGGGCCTCCTTGCCATCTCTGCTTCCCCGCCAGGACTACCTGCTCGTGCCCGATGAAAAGGTGCAGATCTGGAAGTCGAAGGACCTGACCAACAACGTCGAGACCAAGCTGCTGCTCTAAGACGGTGGCCTCCGCGAGCTCCCCCTGCGCCCGAGCAGATGGGCTCCCTCTGACACCGACGCCGAAGGAGGGGCGACCGACCATCTCGCTGCTGAGCGCCCCCTGGTGTATCTGGACGCCCGAAATGGGTACGGACAAAATGGGTACAATGCCCATCAGCAAATGTTGTCGCAAGCCAACAGCGGCCGCTGTTGGGCAGGCGGCCTTCTGTCTCGAATTGGTACAGGCCGCGGCGGCGTGGACAGCGAGTCCTGTTCAAATTGAACGAGAATCTGCTGTTGGGCATTGTACCCCTTCTCTCCGTGCCCATGTCGGGCGTCCAGACTGTAGTTTCACGGTCCTCTTTTTTTCAATCAGCGGCCGGGGCGGCGGGCAGAGGGGCGCGGGCAGGTTGCGGCGGCCTCCGGCGAGCGGCCGGGGAGGCGCCGGGCGAGGTGCCGCGCGGCAGGCGTGGGGATTGCTCGCTTTGGGCAGGGGGCCGAAAAAGTGACAGCGCGGCCTCGCCCGTGAGAGGCCGCCGCTCCCGCCAGTCGAAGGAGAAACGGCTGCAGAACGAGAGAGTGTCGGAGCGCCGCGCGGAGTTCTCGGACCGGCGTTCGGGCCCCCCAGAGGCGCCTCTGGCGCCGCCCCTGGCGCGCTCCGCGCATCAGGGAGGGGGGTCCCGCGCCGATCCCAGAAATCCGCGCGGACCTTTGAAAGCGCATGCTCATGCAGTTGTTTCTCTCTAGTCACAGCTCCAGAAGCGTTATGATGGCTCGATCTCCCAGGCCATGCCGCTGTACCAGCGACACGTCACTGCGACAGCGACACGATTGTTATGCCCAGCGCACCGCGGAGTAACCCGACTCCCGTTCGTGAGAAGTTGCCCTGTCCCCACTGGGTCGCTGTATCTCAGCCCCACCAGGCCCACCCCCCTAGGTGAGGAGAGGTCCCGCGAAACCCAAAAAGACCAGCACACATTACCACCTTGGGGAGTTCAGTCGGCCAGCGGGGTCAAAGCCATGCCAGCGGGGATAAGGATCGGTGAAACGATGCTCAGCTCAGAGGGTGTAATGGCCCGATCTGCACTCCATGCCACTGTGCCGGCGGCACGATCGTTATTCCCGGCGCACCACAGAGCAACCCGACCTTCTCTTGTGACAAGTTGCCGTTTCCGCTAGGTCCTCCAGAAGGCGACAGCCTGACAACCCCTCGCCAGCGCCGCCGTTCCAGCGACGCGATGATTCTGCCCTGCACCGCGCACGGCGCAGCGCTGGGCACAGCGCAGCGCTGGCGTCACTCTAACATACTGATCCTGTGTGTGCGTCGGGCGACGCGTGCGCCAATAAATCTTCTGGTGCAAGCTCAGCAGCGGGAACTTTCCTGACCGTAGCGCTGGGGGAGCGATATTCTACAAGCCGGTTGTGCTAGATGTTCGGGTCGGACGCGCGCCCCATGCAAACGGGGGTCAGCCAGGGCACCGGATCCTGCAGGATCCTGCGAAGACCCCCTCTGGCTGGCCCGGGTTAGCGAGCCGTTCGTGGCCGCGAGGCGGCCGCGCGTATTGGCTGACCCGGGTTTGACGATCTATGTCACAGTTTGTTGTTCCTGCATAGCAGTTGTTTGGTTTTCTTGCTGACCCGGGTCTTGATTGACCCGCATCAGAAGATCCCCGAAGGTGGCGTCCCTGGGCCCGTCGGTACGGTCGAGATAGGTACGTACGGAGAGCGCGGGGGCGAACATCCGCGGCGAGTGAGGGGGCAAGCGAGGAGGAGGAGGCCTGCTCAGAAGGCGGCGGGGCTTCTCGGAAGCCCTGGCGCCTTCTGAGAAGTGCTCTGCGTCTTCGGGGCAGGCTCAGGAAACGTCTGAGAGAAGGCGGGGGACTTCCGAGCTTTCTGAGAAGCCCGCCCCGTCTCACTTTCCCCAGGGCTCGCCGCCGACGATCGAGATGGGTATGGAAAGAGCGGGGTCGAAAACCAGCAGCGGTTCCTGTCCTCGCTTTTCCAGCCTCGCGCGCAGAGCGCGGGTCCCATGACTCATGCCGTGGGCGACGCAATTATGGGATGAGCCATGGCGATTTCCAAGGCGTCCATGTTGCCCGAGATGACTTCCAAGGCGACCCGGGCACACCACCAAGACAGCGAAGATGGGGCAACATGCCTCACAACGGTTCCTGCCCATTTGGAACCGGGTTCGTTGTCGGCATTGCCGCGGGCCTTGTCCAGTTGAGAAAGGAGGCCGCCTGCCTCACAGCGGCCGCTGCAGGTTCTGAACAGCATTTGTTGTTGGGCCTTCTTACCGTACCCATCTCGGTCGTCCAAAGCCCGGGTCAGGGGCAGCGTTGCGAAGGGGATAGGCTCGGGGGGGGGGCAGGTGTTTGGGCGTTGGGCGGCGTTCCAGCCTCGGGGTGCCTTTACGCAGCTGCGCCTCGCCGAGAGCCTCCCGAACGGCCGGAGAGCCGAATTATGATCCAGAAGCCGCCAGGGGCAATCTGGGAAAAGATGGGAAGTGGGAAGACAAAAACCCAGAAAGTATGGGGAAAGATTGGGAATCCTGTTATTTGTGTGTATTTATTTGTGTGTCCCAGGGCCCCGGGGACACACGAATAAGCTCAGGGGGAGAGGCTCAGGGGGAGACGGATCGACCCCCAGTGGCCCGCCGATTACCGAACAGGGGCCCGGTAGCCCGCCCCCGCTCGGGAGCGTGCGGGCCAGCGGCCCATCGCTGAGCTGGCGTTACGTCGGGCACGTCCCTCCACAGGAGGAAGATTCGGAAATTGTCAAAGGGTGGTCTGGGGACGATTTCTTTTCTACCATGCTTGAATCGCTTTGCAGATTTGTTCGCTATGTTTTATTTTGCGTCCAACATCCACCTGTAGGAGGACATGCCCGTCCTAAATCTAGCGGCGGCGTGTCGCCGATTCCAAGCCGATTGTTGTTCCCCGAGCGGGTCCTCCCCCTCGCTGTGCCCCTCCCCGAGAGCCTGGCCTGGTCTGAGAGGGCCAAGCATTAGAGGAACCAAGGTTAGAGAATACAGCGCTTCACCCATCTGTCGTTGAAAGTATGTATTTTGGGATTCCCGTATTCCAATCTACGTTAAGCGCCTTCCTACTTCGAGGATCGAGTGGTTTCACCTGTGCCGTTCTCTTCAGGGGGCGGACGGACACCCAATCTACGTTCAACGCCTTTCTACTCAATGTTTCTACCTACTTCTTCTGACACATGGGTATGTGTGCGGCCCGTTCTGGGTGGGAGGCCCCCAGAGGCGTCTGAGGACATCCAGGGGAAAGTGGTATTGTCTACGCTCCTTCCCAAGCGACCTTACAGTTGCTGACTCTTCTGCTGCTGCTGCCACTGACGTTGCTGCTCTTCCCCCTCCACCTCCACCTCAGTGTGTTGGTACTTCGTCCTGTCTCTCCTTTCTTCCCACCCCCGTATCCCAATGCCTCGTCCGTCCTCAGCATGGCTACCATGCGACAGTGTGCAGATACACCTTGAAACAGGAAGCCGAGCTCCAGTCGGCGTGGACCCCAGACAGAGAGCAATTGCGAAACCCTGAGTGCAAGCACTGCCTGGGAAGCGGGGCACCGGAGCAGCAGCAGGAGGGGGGGCAGGAGAGCGGGGAGCGAGCGGGGCACTCGGAGAGCACGATGAGAATGCTTCCTCTGTGCTTGAGATTGGTGCCGCCCCTGCACCCCTGTCCTCCGCACTCGCGCGCAGGGCGGCACGCGAAAGAAGCTCGAGCGGTCTTCGGGCGCCATTGTGCAGTGCCCCTGGGCTTGCGAGGCGCGGGAGGGGCATGAGGAGGCTGACGCCACGGGACGGGCGTCGAGGAGGAGGAGGAGGAGGAGGAGGAAGAGGAGGAGGAGGAGGAGGCAGGGTCGCGGCGGAGAAAGATACCGCCGGGCCGCCAGGGTGGGCCCGCCTGGCTGCGCTCTGGACCGCGGTTAGGCCAGGGCTGAACGGGGGCACCGACGGCGGGAGAGGCGGAGGAGGAGGAGGAGGAGGAGGAGGAGGAGGCGTAGGAAGACCAGTGCAAACCCCAAAACTCATCATTGATGTTGGATTCTAAACCCTCCCTCCAGGCTCCCTCTTCATGGGCCTGTTAATTTGCACTCAGGGAAGTTCCCCGTTGGGAGACAAACGTTGGGAGATCCCGGAAGGTCAAGATCCCGAATCGTGCCCGAACGCCGTTCGTAGGACTTCAACACCGCGGATCAGCGTTGATGTTTGCCTTGGCAATCCAGAGTCGTTCCAAAATACCATGTCTGGTACGTTGACCATGGGAATCAGTGGTATCATTTGTAATTTCGTTACATGAATGTTCGCGGCGCGAAGGCGAGAGCCACATTTTGAAAGCCGCCCGCCCTCAACCGGTGAAATTCTTGTAAACTTTGAGAAATGCGCGCGGCGCCGAGGCGAGAGCCACATTTGAAACCGCCCGCCCTCCAATGGTGAAACTGCTGTCAACCTAAAAACTTCAGGATCATACATGGTGAGGAAATCTCAGGCGACACGTCCGGCCCGCCCCTCCGGCTGGCCTCAGGGCGCGACAGGGAGGAGTTGCTTATTAGGAAAAGTATTGAAGCAGGGGGAGGAGGAGGAGGAGGAGGAGGAGAAAGAGGAGGAGGAGGAGGAGGAGGAGGAGGAGGAGAAGGACCAGTGCAAACCCAAGACTCATCAACGATGTTGGCATAGGCGGCGTACACCTTCCCTGCTCCTTCATGATAGGCCCCTACAAGGATCCATTTCCACTGAGGGAAGTGCGCCGTTGGGGGACAACCGTGTGAACATCTTGACGCGTGCCAAAACACCCGGATCAGCACTTCAACGCCACAAGTCAACCTGACTGTTGCGTCTTGGCGATCTTACATCGCGCCAGGGCACAATTCCTGGGACTTCCTAGCACCTCGAATCAACGTAACTGTTGCGTCCTCACACTTCCTGAACCGTTCCAAATCACTATTTGCGGCAGGTTCACCAGGAGGATCAACGACATGTTTGAACTATTTGAACCGAATGCCCGTAGCGCTACGGCGAGAGCCACGGTGTCGAAAAGGAACCACCCTCAATCCGTTAAGCTCTTGCAGTTTGTTTAAATGTACGCAGCGCTTAGGCGGGAGCCACATTTTGAAGACCACCCGCCTTCAATCCGTGATCATCGTGCGATGTGTTTAACGAGTGCTCGCGGTGCTAAGGCGAGAGCTACATCCTGAAAACCGCTCGCCTTCAATCCGCGAATCTCTAGCACACTTTAAGACGAAGGTGCGCGGCGCTAAGGCGACAGGGGACAGTGGGACAGTGGTGGGGACAGTTGGGACAGTGGGACAGCACAGTAGGACAGCGGCGGGGACAGTGGGGACAGTGGGACAGTGGTGGGGACCATGGGAGCAGTGGGACAGTGGTGGGGACAGTGGGGACAGTGGGGAGTGGGACCGTGGTGGGAACAGTGGTGGGGGCAGCGGGGACAGTGCGACAGTGGTGGGGGCACTCGTGGGGACAGCGGGGACAATGGTGGGAACAGTGAACGGTGGGGTTAGTGGGACAGTGGTGTTGGGGACGGTGGTGCTGGGGACAGCGGTGAGGGCGGTGGTGAGGACGGCGGTGGGGACCCAGGAGTCGTTTGCCGGCGGTGAGTAGGGGGGGTGGAGGGGGGAGAGGGGGGGGTCGAACCGGTTGTGACCCCCCACCCGGTTTTCTGGAAGGGGGGGGGGTCGAACCGGTAGTACCCCCGGTTTTTTGGAGGGTGGGGGTGGGGAGGGGAGAACACATTGCCCCTGATAATAATGTACCCCCCCAAAACCTTCTGTATCTTTACTATCCCATGTCAATAAAATTTAATTGTGGAGAGGGGCGCGGAGGCCGAATGTGAGAATCACAGAGGAAAGTTGCGAACCGAAGTTGATATCATATTTTGCTGACTAGCAACAGCATCAAAAACGCTGAGCATGGCAATGATGGTCTCACCATTTCAGTTTCCTTTATCACGAGCGTGTGGCAGGGCTATGGGACTCTCACCATTTCAGTTTTCCCTGGTCACGAACGTGCGAAGCACGCCACCTCCGAGGAGGCAAGCGCTGCCGCCCAGGCCTGCACCAAGTGCCTCCCGTGCAAGGACGGCTCCACAGCGTGCCGAGCCTGCATGGGCGAGTGGTTCGAGGTCGTGCGCAAGATTGGTTTCTTGGCCAGGAGCGCCAAGGACCTCTCTTGCGCAGGCAAGTTGTAGCCACGAGATTCGAAATTTCTTGAGTCAGTCTTGTGCCAAGATCTACAAGGTCATTCTACACGAGCGCCCAGGATCGTCATCATCATCATCATCACCATCATCATCATCATCATCATCATCATCACCTTCGCTGGGGAAATCGTTGATTCTCCCGCCAGACCCCCGAACTTCGTTATCCCCAGGAAATTATTATCGGGAACGCAGGGTTAAGTGGGGGGGGCTAGGGGAAGAGAGGGGCGGGGGGAATTTTCGAGCAGGGGGGGAATTTTCCGAGGGTGGGGACTCCCGGGCTCCGGATGAAAAAGGGGGCGGGGGGTTCCACAGTAAAGCGGCGGTGGATCACGCTCCCCTCCCATATGTGAATTGTTATCAGGCTTTCAAGCTTCGGCTCGCAAAGTGGTCAAGCGAAACGCCTGGCCCGCCGCTATGATCGACCTCGGGGTGCGGCAGCGAGGAGTTACCCATAAGGAGCGGAAGAGGGGGAGAAGCAGGGGGAACAGGAGGGCGACGACGCCCTTCGCGCCTTTCTCGGGTAATCTAGAAGCCGCGCTGAGGCTTCTGAGCCCAGCCGGAGGCCAGGAGGGCGTGAGGGGCGGCAACGGCGAGTCGCGCATTGTTCCCAAGCGTCCCATGTTGTTTGGTCTCCGCTTTGCGCCCCCGTCCTCAATCACTCCTCCTTTCTCCTCTCTCTCTTCGCATATGCCTCTTATGTCTTCATCGTCGTCGTCGCAGTCGTCGTCGTCCTCATCATCAACCATCATCATCATCATCATCATCGTCATCATCATCACCTCCATCGTGAGTGAGCATCATCGGTAACGGCGTTACCACAACCATCATTATCATCACAATCACCAGCGGCCAGCATTCAGCACGCGCTGCATTCACTGCATGGCCCCTCCGCGAGTCCAATCGAAACCCAGACGGGGGGGGGGGGAAGGCACTTGCGGTTCCCCACCCTCGGCGCACCCATCAAACGTTTCGTGGCCCCATATGGGGCTCCACAAGCGGTTACCCCTACTTCCGCGCGCCCACATGCGGTTTCGCCCCCCAATGGGGGTTCCAACTGAGGCCCCCGTAGGTGCCACCGCATGCGTCTCCCCGACTGCATCCGTCACGCCGTTCGAGGGGCAAGAAGGTCCCCCTCCTTCGTCTCGCTTGCCTTGCGGTCGCGTCCTTGCATATGGTCGCGTCAGTCGCCCCGTTTTTGTTATCAGTAGTTTGAACATATCGGTTGTTTTTTTGAGATGCTGATGCCACATTGGAACCGTAGTAAAGCGTTCTGTTGCACGTTCGAAACAGCGTGTGGCGGTTTGAAGGCAAGCTCGGGTTATTTTTGACCATCATTGGGCTGAAATGCGATATGTGTGCATATTGTATTGCGAGTCGGCTTAGTGCGCTTTGGCAACTGGTCTGACGGCGCAGGCGGAAACTCCCCCGGGACGCACCGATGCACATCGGGATGGGGGCATTCAGCATGTTAGTTGTTTGCTTGTCGTTGCGCACTAAACAGAATGTCCTCAAGGACCCAATGCTGTCTTCTTAAGTTGGCGGGTACACAGCCGAGTCCTAAATCTGCTCGCGGTGCGTGGTCCTTGGTCGTATGGTATAGTATGTATACTTGTATCACGGGTCGTGCGGTGTTGTAGTACGCAAGGGTAGTACATTACAGCCGCGTGCTGTCACAGCTTGGTATGGTAGAGTAGACTCGCTCCTATACGCGCGTGTCTATAGTCATGTGCTTATATACTTTCGGATGCGCTGCCATGCAAAGGCGCGCGCGCAAAGTGAAAAGGCCTGCGGATGCGCTGCCAGATCCCGAATCCGTGGCCCGTTGTCTCTAGTCGTGGTTCGCGTTCTCTGGTCGTCTGTCGTGGTCTCGTGTCGTGGCTTGGAGTCTCACGGGTCTCAGGGCCTCTGGTGGCCTCTGGTCGCGGTAGCAGCATGTAGGGCAGCCAGGGTGTACACATAGTATGCGATTCGATTGCACAGAATATCTGATTGGGCAGCATGGGAAGAAGTGCTGTGTTGCATCGGAGAGTACAGGAGAGCACCTTACAGCACAGCAGTACCCTGACGACTGCTCTGCAGCGTTCTCTCTAGCAGGGAGAGAGCCGTGTAGGGCCTCCTGCCGCCCAGCGTGTCAGTTTCGCGTCGTCCTCTTCGTCCTCGCTCCTTTCTTGGATTAGGAGGCTGCCTGACCGCATTCGAGTGGCATCTCTGCCAACATTATTGGGCCGAGGTATAAGATCGAGGTCGGTTCGGGGAGGGTGCCCTCGTGTGCTTCGTGCTTGTGGAGCGCTCTCGTGAATCCTGGGGGAGGGTGACCCTCGAATGTTCTTCAGTTTGGCCGGCGGAAGGTCTCGTGTTCTTGAAGTGTGTTTTTTATGCACCTTTTTCATCATGGTTTGAGGATGCGGTAGTTCATATACCACCCCGACGTGTTTGCAGCCTTCCCCATCCTACCCTCTCCTTGTCAACTATTCGCCTCCATGTTTCCAAGGCGGTGTGCACTCCCCTGCAGCCCCGCTCGTCGCATCCTGAAGTGTAAGCTTGAAGTTATGTTGGCATTTGTATGTGGCCCAAATGGAAAGTTTCCCTTTGTCCCCCGGGGTAGTCATTGCAAGTTCAGATGGTGATCCTTTGAATTTCTGCTTGGTTCCTCGTACTGGTATTCATCGATATGTAACGCTTAGAGAATCACTATGTGATCTGCCCAGGGGCGGCGTGGGCTGCCTGGCAATGGGACAAACATAAGGTCCAGGTGCCCCACCGACAGCCAATCCGCAGTCGGCTGCCCGCGATCACCAGCTGCGGCCCTCTACCCTCTGCTCGCTTCTTAAGGTACGTCGGCAGCGTCGCCATGTTCTCCGGCACCAAAGCCGAGCGCAGGCCCGACCAGCCGTCCGACCCGACGCCTTGCAGTGGGCGGTTCAAGCGGGGGTGCCTGGTCCTTTCGTATCTCGGGAAGACCGACCGTGCGGCACTCTGCAGCACAGGGTTGTGGGATCGGAGCCCAGGCCCAGGGGACCTGTGAGCAAGCCCCCGAAACCGTCTCCCCGGACCTTCCAGATCGTTCCGAGGGACACGAGCCAACGGGGCGGGAGGAGTGTGAGAGTCTTGCGTGAGGAGGAAAGTTGTCGGGCGCTCTCAGTAGCATCCTGCACGAAGTCTCGAACTGTCGTTCCGTGACCCTTTTGCTCCACAAACCTCTGAGGGCGAGGACGAGGACGAGGAGGAGGCAGAGCGATATCCCGAGCAGCAGGGGGGTGAGGATGGATGAAGGAGGAGGGGAGGGAGGGGCGAAGTGGCAAAAGAGCGGGCGCGGTGGACAGTGTCGGTGCACGTGAAGGTTGCCTTGTGAATTTTCATATGCAGGGAGGAACATGTCTGAGAGGAGGAGGAGGAGGAGGAGGAGGCGGAGGAGGAGGAGGGGAGCCCATGCTCCCCCCCCTGCGGGCCCTCATCTCCTCTTCCTCTCTCTTCCTCCCTTGTGCCCCCCCTCTTTGGGGAGGGGTGCGTGGGTTTCGAACTTCTGCCTTCCTGGTGCCTTCCAGGGCGCTCGGGGGCTCGTCGTCGCCACTGCCTCCATCCCGCTCCGTCTCGCCCGTTTCCCGCGTACGCGCTTCAACCTTCCTTGCGCTTCGACCCACCGCCCGTCCGAGTAGGATGGGGTGAGAGGAGGAAAGACAAGGTGGGATGATGTGCCCCGAGCGGTGCGAGCCCTGCCTGTCTTGATCCAGGTTCCTGGTTTCGCATGGGACCACCGGAGCCAGAGGAGGGAGGAGGGAGGAGAGTTGACCAGTGACGACGAGGTGGAGGACGGGACGGCGTCAGGTGGGGAGGGCGCAGGAGATGCCAGGCAGCCGCAGGATAACAATTCATCTCTCCAGAGCGTCACCCGAGCGTTCGGGAGCGCTCTGGAATGGCCGCGTAGTCCCCGCACGCCCTCTTGTAATTCCCTGGCCATCGGATGACCCCGAGCTACTCGTGCCCGGTGGCACGCTGCCCTCGTCTAAACATTGCATCTCCAGGCGAGCCAAGGAGTACATGAAGTGGCTCTTCGAGCAGCTGGAGGGCCCCGTGTGGGTGGATGGCTGGGAGGACTTGGTCGCGCGCTGGCTTTCCCCTCACACTCACACTCTGCCGGCAAGGAGGAAACGGGAAGGTGGAGGGGTATGTCGGCACTGGTGGCCTCGGAACCGCCGCGCGCCGCGCGGTGCACGAAACGAGCGAGGGAATGAAAGGAGGACGGTCGTCCGAAAGCACCCCGTCTCACCCCTGCCCCCCAGCGCTTCCGTTTGCATTCCTTCGCAGCGCCATTCGTGGCCCCTGGGATGTCCTGAAACGTCGGAACTGGTCAGAGCGGAACGACCGCGCAGCCTAGACCTCTGGCCCTGGAGCTGCGCCTCCGCTCCGATCCCCCAGCGTCTCCCCAGAAGATGCCAGAGAGAAAGCCGGCAGAGGTACTTGGAAATCATTGTTAGCGACCCGAATGCCATCGTGCCCCACTCCTGGCAGCACGACCCTCCCCGACCATCCAGAGCACCATACCGAATCGGACCGGGAAGATATGATTGTACAGGCTTCTGGCATGTGTTGCCGATCCGGGACGCTCCTTCCGGATTCGTCCTACTTAATAGTTTGTGAGTGGTGTTTCGAGGAGGCAAGAGGGAGGACGAGGAGGGAGGAGGAAAAGGAGGAAGAAGAGGATGAGGATGAGGATGAGGATGAGGATGAGGATGAGGATGATGATTATGATGATGATGATGATGATGAGGAGGAGGAGGAGGAGGAGGAGGAGGAGGAGGAAGAGGAGGAAGAGGAGGCGGAGGCGGAGGAGGAGGAGGAGGGGGAGGGGGAAAAGGAGGAGGAGGAGGAGGAGGAGGGTGTTGGCAGTCGCCTGAGGCAGTCTGTGTTGGATGGAACGTTTGGCTCGGGTCCGTCTGTCGAGCTTGTTGGCGGTCTAGTTCCCCGGCGGATCTGAGCATGAATATGTTATCTTATGTTGTTTCTTCCCGTCCTCTCTATTTACTCTTATCTGGTGGCCTTTAGTCCATCCCGCCACCGTGCCTGGGTTGTGGGTCCCAGGCTGTCAGGAGGTTCGTTGGGATCTCGTGGGAAGCTTCTCGGGGGCCTCTGGGAGGCAGTTTTGAAGCCTATTGGGTGCCGTTTGGGCGTGGGCCTCTTGGGGACCTCTGAGGGGCCTTTTGGGGGCCTTTTGGGAGTCCCTTGGGGCCTTTCGGGGGCCTCTTGGAGCTTCCTTGGGTTTTTTTTGGGGGACCGAAGGCTCGAATCGTCCGTTCGTGTTCCCCTTCTTGAGCCCCTCTCGGGGCCGTCCTGGAGCTCTCATGGGGCGTCTTGGGCCCCACTTGGGCCGTTTCGGACCCCTCTTGGGCCGCCTTGGAGCCTTTTGGGGCCCCTCGTGGGTTGTTTTGGGGCGGTCTTGGTCGGCAGCTCGAAAATGCGAAAACCCTACAATTTCCCTACATAGGCTCTGCCTAGAAGGGTTCTTACTCTCTTAGCTTAAAGGGCCGGGCAGTGCTAACCGCCCTGGGCGGTTCCCCCAGTCCCCGCCCCGCGGTTCCCCCAGTCCCTTGAGAGCTTTAGCTTTAGCTTTAGCTTTAGCTTTAGCTTAGCTTTAGCTTAGCTGTAGCTTAGCTTCAGCTTAGCTTTAGCTTAGCTTTAGCTTAGCTTCAGCTTAGCTTCAGCTTAGCTTTAGCTCAGGTTTAGCTTAGCTTTAGCTTGGCTTTAGCTTAGCGGCACCTTAGCGTTAGCTTAGATTTAGCTTAGCTTTAGCTTTAGCGTTAGCTTAGATTTAGCTTAGCTTCAGCTTAGCTTTAGCTTAGCTTCAGCTTAGCTTCAGCTTAGCTTTAGCTTAGCTTTAGCTTAGCTGTACCTTAGCTGTACCTTAGCTTTAGCTTAGCTGTAGCTTGGCTTTAGCCTGGCTTTAGCTTGGCTTTAGCTGAGCTGCACCTTAGCTTTAGCTTAGCGTTAGCTTAGCTTTAGCTTAGTTTTAGCTCAGTTGTAGCTTAGCCTTTACCGTAGCTTTAGCTTAGCTTTAGCTTAGCTTTAGCTTAGCTTTAGCTTAGCTTTAGCTTAGCCTTTACCGTAGCTGTAGCTTAGCTGTACCTTAGCTTTAGCTTATCTGCACCTTAGCTTTAGCTCAGGTTTAGCTTAGCGGTAGCTTAGCCTTAGCTTACTATTAGCTTAGCTTTAGCTTAGCTTTAGCTTAGCGTTAGCTTAGCTTTAGCTTAGCTTTAGCTTACCTTGAGCTTAGCTTAGCTTTAGCTTAGCTTTAGCTTAGCTTTAGCTTAGCTTCAGCTTAGCTTTAGCTTAGTAATAACTTAGCTTTAGCTTTACTGTTCGGACTAATGCTGCTTTCCTAGGGGCTCCAACTCCTATGTAGGGTCGCACTGGGATTATTTTGAAAAACCAATGGCAAATCAATGAGTGTTGCCTCTTGGGGCTCCTCTTGAGGGTCCTCTTGGAGCGCTCTTGGGGTCTCTTGGAGGCCTCTTGGCCCGTCTTGGGGCCATCGTGGTCGTGTAGGAGCTCTTTTGGGCCGTTGGCGGCCTCGGCGGCGTTGTCACCCCCCCCCCCTTCCCCCCTTCCCCAGCCAAGCCGCCCCGGCACCCTTCCTCCTGCTGCAGCGCGGGAGCGGCCCCGGAAAGTACAGCCCCACCCCTACCCCCCTTCCTTGGTAGAGCCACCCCGGCACCCCCAGCTCAGTTGAAGCTCAGGCTGCAGCGTTTGCAAACTCTCGCGCCGGATCTGCGGGCCTCACGCACTCATTCTTCGCGAGCGTGAGGCCCAAAATTTACTCCTGGCGATCTGGCAGGGGCCCACTTTTGCCGCCACCCCTTTTCTCTCCGGGGAAGCACACCCGGGGGACTCCCCGCTCTCGCCGGAGGTCCAGGCGTTGTCCCCAGAGAGAGTCGCAGGACGAGCCAACCCGCTCTCGGTGATTGTCCTTCTCGGAGGTTGGTGAGAGAGGGGGACGGGGACGGGAGAAGTGGCGTGGGAGGGGCGGGGCTGGGGGGAAGAAGCGCTGACGTAAGCACATCAACTCAGAGGTCCGCGCAGGTTTCTCAGATCGGCGCTGGACCCCCATCCCTGGTGCGCCGAGCGCGCCAGGGGTGGCGCCAGAGGCGCCGCCCAACGCCGATCCTAGGAATCCGCGCGGACCTCCGAGTTATGTTTTTGTCATTGTTTGATCCCCTAGAGGCAGACGGGGACGGGAGAGGTGGCGGGGGAGGAGCGGGGGTGAGGGAGACGAACGGCTCGTTCTCTTCACTTTCCTGTGGAGCCCTTCTCCACCCGCTTCAGTCGTCGTCGTCGTCGTCGTCCTATTTGAGGTTCCGCAAGACCACAGAAGCACGTGTCAAGTGGAGATTCCAATAACAAATATCCCTGCATGGACCATGTTGCCAATGCTGCCAATACCTTCATTAATTCCCTCCGCCTCCTCCCTGATTCCCTCCGCCGATGCGCCGTGCGGCGCGGCTCCACTGACTGACTGACTGGCCTCCTTCCTCCGCCTCCCATGGGTCACCCGCTGGGCCCTCCTCTCATGGGGCCGCGCAAGGGCGCGAAGATGACGGCGCCTCGCGCGGCGCGAAGCGCAGATTTGGGCAGCGCGGCTTCCTCACGGTCGGTTCGCGTCGTGACGGCGCGGTCACGACCCCAGCGGAGGCGTTGAAGATCGAACGCCGCCGTCGGCCGATGTGGGACGAGTTGCGCGATCGGACAGCCGCGACCGCTCCAGGCTAAGGAGCAACGCGGCGTCAGGAACCAGCGCGCAGGTCGTCAGGGCACGAACCTGCCGCACCCTCGTCCCTGCTCCCCCACTGTGCCAGACGGCAGGCCGTCGGCCTGCCGACGCTCGCGGCGGTCGTGCTGTCGGCTCCCGTGCTGCTCGCGCCGTCGGCCGTTGCACCTCGCGCCCGCGCACGCCGCAGGATCGCGACGACATCACGGTGGTGGAGGCGAGACTGAGCTCCTCACCGCTGCTTCAATCGCAGAAGTAAACAGTTGCATGCACACAGACGTGAGGAGCTCCGCGCGGACCTCCGAAAGTCGATGCTTGTGCGGCTGTGTCTTTCTCTATTTGGGCCATCCCCTCGCGGCTGGAAATCTTGAAGCGAAGTCTTGCGGCCACGGCATGTGGACGTCGGGCAGGGGCTGCGAGAGCGAGAGAGGGGGAGGGGGGGGGAAGAAAGGGAAGGGCGAGGACGAGGAAGAGGAGCAAGTCCCCTGAACAGCGAGTGCTGCGTGAACCCCGCCCTCCCCCTCAGAAATCGTGGGGGGTAGGGGTAGGGTTCGCAAATGCCCCCCTAGGGGGACGACAACAGGGGTGGGTGGGCGGTGAATGTCATGGCGGGGACCATGATATCGCCCCAGGTCTTATGGCGCCTCTTCTTGTTTCAGTGCTAGGGGAACGAAACATGACATACATTGAACAACTCGAGGTCCGCGCGGATGTCTGGGATCGGCGCTGGGGCCCCCTGGCGGCGCCTGCGGCGCCGCCCCTGGCTCGCTCCGCGCGCCTGAGAGGGGTGTCCAGCGCGGATCTGAGAAATCCGCGCGGACCTCAGAGCTTTCATGTTTATGTCAGTTTTCGTTCCCGTAGATACGTCCCATGGCCCCCCCCCCGGGGCCGCGCACATGTCTCGGGTTGTGAGTTGCGCCCCCCCTCGAACGCCCCCGGGAAGCTGCCGCCCGCGTGTGCCGTGCCGTGCTCGCGTGCAGGGAAGTGCCCTACCTGCAGTGGAGACCAGTGCCAAGAAATACCCCCTGCTTGCCTCTAATACCCGTCTACAGGAGGAATATTAAAAAATAGCAAGCCAATAGTATGAGGACGCTGTTTCTATTATTTTCGACTCTTTTCGAACATTGGTGGGCTATGTTTGTGTTTTACTTACGCCCAAAATCCGCCTGCAGGAGGATATGCCCGACCTAAGCTTGCCTCCAGGGTGCCCCGGGTTTCTTGGGTTTCGATGGTTTTGCTGTCGAAAGCGTGACACTCTCACACCAACAATTCATGGACCTCCTGGGGTCTCAGGGTTGGGTTTCTTGCGGAAGGTTTCTTGTGGTCGAGCTCCTATTGCAACTGTTGTTGGCCTTGACGGCTAGCTACACGACGGCACCCCTGGGGGGCCCAAACTTTGGCGTACGCGTGGCCCGAGCGGCAGGTGACAGACATAAACCACCGGTCAGGCACAGTCATTCGAGAGGAACCGCGGACTACGCCAGGATCAATCCGCTTACAATTCCGGGAAGAATCTTGGGCAATGCCAGATTGTCTAGTATTGGAAATATGCAAAACCTTAGTCGTGGAGAGTATGTTCAGCCCTCCCCCCTTTCCCGTGCGAGAGGGTGGCACCGGCGCAGCCCTTGTTTTCGTCCGCCCCTTTTCTGCGGCGTGTGACGCGCAACTGGCTTGGGACTCGCCTGGGCCCCGCGAGCCGACTCCGCACGGAATGGATGTGGGCTACTTCCTCCACGTTCGCAGAGAGGTACTTTCCCAACCCGCGGCCCCGAAGGCCCCGAGCGCTTCTTGTGGGGGTAGTTGTTCGTCCCGGATGCATTCGTGGTGGTCCCGAGGCCCGAAACCGGGATCCGAGAGTTGAAATCTGAGGAAAGCACCCCGATTGAAAAAATCAGCCTCTCGTTCTTCTCCTCCTGGGGGCGACGAGGTGCCCAGCGACTGCATCGGCTACATCACGGGCAACCGGCGGGCGACGCTGGGGGCCATGGAGGAAGAGTGGGGCCCGAGCCTCAGCGCCAGCTCGGCCGAGGGACGGGCGAGGGGCGGGTCTGCTCAGACGGCGGCGGGGCTTCTCAGAAGCTCTCGCTCCTCCTCCCCCTCCTCCTCCTCCTCCTTCTCCCTCTCCCTCTCCCTCTCCCTCTCCCCCTCCTCCTTCCCCTCCCCCTCCCCCTCCCCAGACAGAGGCGGCTCCCCGGAAGGCCGGAGGACTTCCGAGCAGTCCCGCCGCCTCCTGAGGAGGCTTGCCTGGAATCTGTTCCCGGGCCAGGCCCCCTGCCTTTCTATGGAGCTGCGCGCAGGAACCTGACAACTTTACACGCCGGTCGTTGAAAGTAGGTATTTTTGGATTCCCAGATCTTAATCGACTTTAAGCGTTTTCCTACTTCAAGAATCGACACGCTTTTGCTGTGTGTTGTTATTCTCTGTGGGGGCCTGGACCCAATCACCTTGATCCGCCTTACTACTTCATGTTTTTTACCTACGTCTTCCGACCGGCGTGTATTCTCTTGCACAGCTGTGTTCTAGAGCTCGGACCTCTCCATTTCCGTCGTCGTCGATCGTTCGTTCGTCCTTCGTCCTTCCCCCTCCCCCCTGGCAATAGAAGGAAGCTCCTGGAGGAAGGAGGCGAAACCCTCCTGTCCCTCGCAGCTCCTTGGTGCAAGAGCTGGGGCGCGCGTGCCACTTATTTTTACCGGTCGTCGGAGCAACTTTGCAGGCGTCGGCGCGTCGCCCATGGCAGCCAGTTGATCCCAAGCAGACACTGCAGATTGAAAAAGAAAGTGGCACGCCTCCCGAGCGCCCAGCTCCCAATATTCTGGACCTGGCCCCCCAGGCATACCCCAGGCCTGCCCCCTCTCGCGTCCCTCCTGGGCTCGCCGCCGAGCCGAAGCACGGGTCGGACGAGGACGGCGCCGGGGAGCTCGCCGACGGCAGGGATTGGGCGCGCCTCTCCCGGCCGCAGCTGCGGCGCGCTTGCGTCGAGCGTGGGCTCGCCGCCAGCGGCGGCCGCGAGGAGATGGCAGCGCTGCTGTACGCCCAGGACCCAGGAGCTCCCAGCACAGCCTTTTCGACAGAGTGGTACGGATCTGCTCAACTCCAATTCGACCTCAGTTCAACTCAAGTTCGACCCAAATTCGACTCCGGTTCGACTCGGATTCGACTCAAGGTCGACTCGAATCGACGGAGCTTCGAGACGAGTGGAGCGAATGGCTCTAGGAAGGTCCCCAGCATGAGCAGCCCAGAGTGGCTGAACACCGATGGTGTTTCCGCGGACGGCACGTGTGCCGCCGTGCAAGCGTGGGCGCCCCTGTGGAGGCGTCGTCGATCCCCGGCCCAGGAGTGGCACCGTGCCGCGCCAGAGCGAGGTCTGAAGGGAGTCCAGACACGGTACGGTGCATGGGCGCCGTCCTCGTAGTTCCCTCGTGGTTCCTGAGGGCGCGGGCGCGGAGAAATCTGGCAAACCTCTGGTTGTTGAACAAGCTGTTCGTTGCTTGAGCGCCGCTGGCGGCCGCGGGGGGGGGGGGCACCGCGCCGAGCGCGGGCCTGCTGCTTACGGCGGCCTCGAGGAGGACAACGATGTTGATGATAATGATGATGATGATGATGATGATGATGATGATGATGATGGTGGTGATGATGAGAATGAGGATGAGGATGAGGATGAGGATGAGGATGAGGATGAGGATGAGGATGAGGATGAGGATGAGGATGGGGATGAGGATGAGGATGATGATGATGATGATGATGATGATGATGATGATGATGATGATGATGATGATGATGGGGATGATGAGGATGAGGATGAGGATGAGGATGAGGATGAGGATGAGGATACGGGAATGATGATGCTGCTGATTATGATGGTGGTGATGATGATGATGATGGTGACGGTGATGATGATAGTGAAGGTGATGGTGATGGTGATAGTGATGGTGATGGTGATGGTGATGGTGATGATGAGGGTGATGGTGATGGTGATTGTGGTGATGGGGACGATGATGATGATGATGATGATGATGATGATAGTGATAGTGATAGTGATGGTGACGGTGGTGTTGGTGGTGATGTTGATGATGAGGAGGAGGAGGAGGAAGAGGTTGGTGGCATCATGATGGCGTTATCATCAGCGTCAGCATTCATCATCGTCGTCGTCACTGCTGGCACCACCGTGCCAAAGTTGTGACTGATGAGTTGGTCCCAGGATTTCCGCGTTGTGCGTTCCGTCCTGGGGCCGTGCGAAAGTTAGCTGCTCTCTTACCGAACTGCCCTGAACGGTTTGCTGTGCCCGGCGCTTCGCGGGCCTCCCCGCGTCCGCTTCGCGGGCTTCTGGCTCCCGGTTCGCTTATCGGGGTCTTGCAAGCGGGGTCTGCGGCGGCGCGCCGCGCAGTTCGCCCCCCGTGCGAGGCCAGGCGCCCATCGGCCTCCGGACAGTGCGTGCGCAGTGCTCAACGTCAGTACTGTCATTTTTTTTGGCGGGCAGAGGGCTCTGCCGCCCACATCCGCCGATGTGCTCCCTTTCAGCCCGAATTCTCATCATCATCATCATCATCACCACCACCACCACCATCATCATAATCATAATCATCATCATTGTATTCATCATCATCGCAGAACAGAGCATGATGTTGTGGCAGAGCCCCCCAAAAAGTTAGAGAACGTTCAATGTAGTCTTCATCTTGCCTTCGCCTTCATTGTCAGATGCGTTGGGGCAAACTCCTTCGTCGTCCTCCCTCTCCTCTTGCTTGGCCATCGCCGAGGCACCCTGATGTTCTTCATGAACAAGGCCGAGGAGCTCGCTCCCCCGCCTCTCCATCAGGTCGTCGCAGGGCGGAGGGAGGAGGAAGGGGGGAAGGGAAGAGGGGGGAGGGGCAAGCTAGGTGCGCTCGCGTCATGTCTGACGTCCTAGCCCTCCCTCCCTTCCCTTGCCACGGCGTAGATCTCCTCTCTATTCGCAGTCGGATGTCGAGCAGGGCAACGATCCCGAGAGGGTGCGATGCATGGTAGGGCGGCACGGCATAGCAGGGCGTAGAAGAGCACGGCAGAGCGTAGTATGTCATAGCATGGCGTGGCGTTGCGTAGTGAAGAATTGCATCACAAAGCATTCCAACGCAAATAATGGCATCGCACAGCAGCACAGAATAGAACATGGCATATCATGGCGTTGAAGCTCAAGGCGTAGCATGGCATAGCACGGCCTGGCACTGCGTAGTCGAGCATTGTATATCCTAGCATTGCAGCTGCAGGCACGGCATCGCACAGCGGAACGCACATAGCATTGCATTGCATGCCGTGGCATGGCAGTGGAAGTAATGACGCCAGCGCTGCAGCGGGAGCACGATTCGGAGCGGGCAGGAGCGCGGAAACGAAGCCAAGCGCTGCAGCGGGAGCACGATTCGGAGCGAGCGGAAGCGCGGAAATGAGGCCAGTGCGGCAGCGGGAAAACGATTCGGAAGCCCGAAAATGAGGCCAGCGCATCAGCGGGAGCAACTCTTTGAAAAGAAACCATGCGAAAACCCAACTCCCGGAAATTCTCTGTATAAGAAACAGTAGGCGGCCGAGTACATTCCAGACGCCACCAGGGGAGAGAGGAGAGTAGTATTCATATTGTGTAATTGTGGAGGGGAGGGGCAGCGGGGCGCAAGGTGGAGAGTGGAGAGAAAGTGGGGGGAGGGGGGGTTAGGGGGGAGGTGGAGAGGCGGAAGCAGCTTGGGAGGAGACCGGGTGGCCACCCCACGGCCGTTTCTTGGTGAGGGACAGAGCGGAGCACGCCCCAACACCCCAGGGGGACATGAAGAGAATGCCAACCTCCCATGTCGACGAAGCACCAGGTGTCTCACTCGGCGGGCGCCTCACGCAGGATGGCAGGGACGCTGGATTCCATCCCGTGGCGGTGGCGACTGGCCGTGGCGGCTTGCGCGTGGGCTGACGCCACAGTCTGACGCCGCAGCTCAACAGCCGGCCTCTGCCGCTTCGCACCACTGCTATTTCCCGTCCGCGTGTCGCGTCATGGCTCAGCGGGTGGAGTCGCCCGTGGCAAGAGGGAGTATCACCGCGCCGCGCTCGCGTCGCATCGGTTAGGAGAGGCTGGAGGAGAGAAGGTTGGAAGACTTCCTCTTCCTTCTCCTCCTCCTCCTCCGTCCTCGTCCTCGCCCTCCTCCTCCTCCTCGTCCTGCTCCTCCTCCACCTTCTCCTCCTCCATCCTCGTCCTCGTCCTTCTCCTCCATCCTCGCCCACCTCCTCCTCCTCCTCCTCCTCCTCCTCCTCCTCCTCCTCCTCCTCCTCCTCTGTACGCCAGGAAAGCCATGAGGGATGAGGCCACCAAGTCCACGGGTGCACACATGGTTTCAATTTCGAATGATGATGTTTTCAGATATTGGAGGATAGCGCCCCTAGAAATTGAATATCGGTCCAGACGTATCAAATGGTATCAGTCTTGGGTGAGAGAACCTCAAAAACACAAAGCTGAATGGGGGGCCTTCTTGGGAACGATGAGAGTGGAGGAGGAGGAGGAGGAGGAGGAGGAGGAGGAGGGACTCAGCATAATCAACGTGGAAGGACAACTCTCGGAATGTGCTTGTCCCTGGGCCCGTCGATTCGTAAACGACATCGTCTCGCTCGAGGACCTAGGAGATGACGAGTACGAAATGATCCAGGAGTTTAACAAAATGCCCTTCCGCCTCTTCAACACCCCCGAGCGCGTTGACTGGTTCACTCTCCTGGACCCCAAGGTTATCAGAGTGAAATGGCTTGGAATTATGATTCCCCCTCCTGGCTATCACACCCCCTACTCGAGCGACGTAGTCAACCAGCCTATTGTATCTGATATGCTAGCTGATTATCGATGTCCTGTCCATTTTTGTGGTCGAGCGTTTCATAGCAAGCGTCAGCTCCTCGCTCATCTTCAGAACTATCATGGACTCAGGTCGCTTCTCGGACAAGCTATCTATTCTAATCAATGTTTCGTCTGCGAGAGCCTCTTTGAATCTCGGAACTCGGCCTACAAGCATGCGTGCCAGAGCTTTAAGACAGGAGTGTGTGTGTATGCTCGAAGTTCGACTTACCAGCCGAGTGCGAGTTCGACCTCCGAATGTCCGTTGTGTGAGGCCCAAGCTGAGTCGACACCAGCACTTCTCCTTCATACCAGACAGCATTTCACTCTCCTACCAGTCGTCGACGATGGTGGAGGCAGCAGCAAATCCGGATTGGTCCATGAAGCCACAGGGAAAAGAGGAGCGGACGGCAGCGGCGACCAGCCGAAGGACAAGAAGCTAGCCAAGCTACAGGAGGAAGTCATGAGCAACCAGGAGGGCGCGGGCTCAACGCTCGCGGCACTCATCACCATCCTATGCCGCCCCGCCCTTCACAACAGCAGAGAGTTGGCCGAGCTCATCGGCGCATGTTTCGTTTGCTATTTGGTCCCGCCCACGGCGGGCATGGTGGCGATCATTCAAGCGGCAGGCCAGGACTACAACACAAAGTGCAAAGAGAAGGGCAAGGATCACGGACTGGGCCCGCCGTGGCCACATGTCTTTCTCGGGCTACTATACTACCTGGTCAAGGAAGCGGCAGGTGTTCCATTCAAAGCAAAGACGACGTTGACACGTTATTGGAACATCGTGATGAAGTTACCGCAGCAGACAGCGCTACGCCATGTACAAGAGCACGTGAGGCTCCTGCGTCTGAGAGCGTGCCATTTCGACAAGAAGCAGCACTCGGATCCACAGATGTTCAAGTTTCAGTTCATGGTGGCTCCAGCTCAGCATACTCTAGTACTACGAGAGGAGGACAACCAGGAATTTCTCACTCTGCACGAGGCGCTGTCGCAGGCGGTGGAGGCGCAGGGGGGCAGTTCGAACCAGGATCAGCGCCGCGAGGCGCGATGGAGAGGGACGCGGAGAAACTGTTGAACCGCATCGGGCTGTCGAACGAGGCCGTCCAGAAGCAGGTGCACAATAAGTAGTTCGTCAGACTTCGATCTCAGGATCCGAGCGAATGCTCGAGCTACTGCAAGAAGGACTTCTGAATGATGAGGCGCTCGCTAGGCTGCAGGCCAAATCCGCGAAGCCCATCTTTAGAGTACCCCGCAGGCACCTAGGAAGTTTCACATGTTTCATCAGATCGGAGCCCCAGTGGAGCCCTGTCTAGATATTCTAACTCTGCTCCAGAGGTCCTCTCGGGTCCGACAGATGCGTGGTGATCTCTCTCTCTCTCTCTCTCTCTCTCTCTCCTCGCTTGAGCCCCCTTCCCCCTTCCCCCTGCTTGCTCCGCCCCCATCAACCTCTGCAGGCGCCTGACCCCACACAGGCCGCACCAGAAAGCTAATCGATTGTAGGATTGCGACCTCTTGACTCGCATCTAGAGCTCTCAGGGGATACGGTGCCTCTGGAGGGCCTCTGAGGGGCAGCTTGCTCCAGTCTGGCCCCTCTGTAGGCCAGAGGAATCCCCCCGCAGGGCCGCTGGTAGGCGCTTACATACAGCGCTTACAGAACCATACCCATATACTAAGTTGAACTGATTTAAAGCCTTCAAGGTTTTCCTCTCCAGCAAGACGGTGACCCATTTGCTCGTAAGTGCTCTTGTCTTGTCTTGTCTTGTCCTCCTCCTCCTCCTCCTCCCCTTCTCCTCCTCCTCCTCCTCCTCCTCCTCCTCCTCCTCCTCCTCCTCCTCCTCCCTTCTCTTCCTCCTCCTCATCCTCCTTCCCCCTCCACCCACCGATCTCTGTGGGAGCCAGGAGCGCCGAGGAAGCTATTCCCCCCCCGTCCCCAGTGCGCCTGGCCACCCCGCTCGCCACCCTCGCCTCCCGTCCCCCGCGCATATCCGAGCGCGTCCTTCTTGGCGGAGGACAAGGGCCGCGGCCGCGGGGGCAGCGAGAAGCCGGGACCCCTAGCTGCGGGAGCTTTTGGGAGGGGAGGAGGAGCAAGGGACGAACGGAGGAGCAGCAGGAAGATCAGAGGAGGAGAAGGCACCCATACCGCTACCCTTCTCACGTTTTCCCCTTTTGCGGGCCTCCTGGGAGGCCCTCGTCGCCACCGCTGGATTCGCTTCGAAATTCTGATCATAACGCACCCAGGAAGAGTTCCGGGGAGTAGCGGTATCAGTAGATTGTGGTTTCCCCAGAAGAGGGAAGGGAGGAAGAGGAGGGACCATCAATAAGAAATGGGCACTTGCTCTTCGAACCGCTCCGCACTGCGGAGGTGATCAGAGCAGGACAGGTCTAGTCTCCAGACTTTCTATGCAGTGGCGCAAACCCGCCTCTGCCCCCCCTTCGGCGTGCGGTGGCGCAAGCGGCCTGTGGCGCGGACAACCCCGTGTTCGCGTCGGCTTTTGTCGAGGAAGAGGCGGAGCCAGACGAAGCCAGGACCGGGACAGAACCGGGCCGTGACCATCGGAGGTCTTTGAGATGCAGCGGTTCTGGAGGATGCGTGAGGCGCCTCGGCCGTTCCAGAGCACTCCAGAGCGCTCTGAGACGATGTATCCCGGCCTTCGCCCCGCCCGAAGGAGGGAAAATAGGCGGAGGAGGAAATGGATAAGGGAGTGAACTGTCGAGGACGAGTCAGACACGGGGGAATTTGGTGGTCAGCCTCGCCACGCCGCGGTCTGGTGGGGCGGTGGAATAGAAGAGCGGGAGGGCCAGCTTCCGTTGGGGAAGTCGGAGGCGAAGAGGGGGAGGAGGACGGCGACGAGGAGAACGGGGCGGATGGGGCAGGGATGACATCGGATGAGAGAGGCGGGGATGGGAGGAGGAAGGAACGAAGATAGCACCGGGGGGGGGAGCACGGGGGCGGTGGCGGGGCGGAGGATGTTTTGTTCGACAGCCACGGCCAGATGCCTCACTGAGAATGGGGAGGGGCAAAAAGTTGCCAGGTCAACTGGCCCCCAATCTCTTCGGACAGATGAGGTCCCTGGCCGAGGGGTCGGCAGAGTAGTATCAGGAGGGGGAAAATCACACAGGCACAAATAATCGTCGATTCATAAGAAAGTATGGAAAATATGGGAAGTGGAGGATGAGACGAACATCCGTAAAATTTGAGACAAACATCCTCAAAATTTGAGGTCGGGGAGCGAGATCGCAGTGGAACGTAGAGCCCCCCAGCGGGAACTCGGAGACTCGGTTTCGGTTTAGTGTTCGTGTCGTGCATGCGGGCGGGGCGAAGCTGCGTTGGCGCGCGAGCGGAGTGACCCCGCCGTCGCAAGGGCGATTCCGATGCAGGGGACCGCCCCTCCGCCCCTGGTGGGCGCGCGGTGGCCCGAGGTGTCCCGCGGTGGTGTCCTGTGGTGTTCCTTTGGTGTCCCGTCGGTGCTCCGTCAGTGTTCCGTCGCCGGTGGGCGGGCGGTGGCCCCGGGGTGGCCCGTCCCGCCTTGGTACCGATAGTGGAGTCGATAGTGAGATCGATAATGAGATCGCTAGAATGGGATGGACAGAGCAGCGGGAACGACTGTGACATTACATCGCAGCGCAACATCCACCCATAGCATTTGCCAGCAGTTGTTTTTGTCCCCCCCCCCCGCTCACACACACACACACACACATCCTCCCCAACCTCCTTATCACTCGAAGGGTGGCCGTATACGCATGGAAGATATAGGTAATTCTGGGATGTTTCCTATTTACGTGTGTGTCCCTGGGCCCCCTCAGAGCAGGAGGCGGAAGCGGAGGCAGAGTCGGGAGGATGGGGAGGCCGATTAGAAGAAGCCGAAGGAGTGGGGAAGGAGAGGTCATCTGATACCCAAGTGGCCGCGGCGATCGATGGGCATATGGATCGCCCTGCGCTCGTCCTCTTGATTGCTTTGTGTTTGTCTTCCCCTCCCCTACGCCACCTCCGCCACTCGGCTCCTCCCGAATCACCCCCCGCCCCACCTTCCGCACCCCCACCTGCTTCGCCACCTCCCTCCCACTTCGCCCCCCCCCCCTCCCCCCTCCGCCGCCCACTCGCCTCCCCTTCTCAGGAGAGGAGGAGGCTGGAGCCGGGAGGTCCGCCTGGAAGTATGTGTGCAGCGGCAGGCACCCCCAGCAGAACAAGAGGGAGAGGAAATCAAGGTTCCTCCCCTCGACCTGGTCCTCTTGATTGAGAGAATGTAGCCGCAGGAGAACCTCCGCCGCCCCACCCCCTCTACCACCATCAGCCCCACATCGCCCTCCTCCCGCATCGCCTCGCGCTCGCACCACTGCAGCCCAAGCCGGCCGGTGGTGGCGGCCACGGCATGCCAGCCCCGGCATTCTCGGGTCTGCCACATCCCCGAGGGTCCTCACGGGCAGGCTTGCCAAAAACGATGGCGAAGACCCGACGACCTCGCCGACGCCGACGACCCCGCCGACGACGCCGATGCCGACGACGACGACGACGCCGACGCCGACGCCGACGCCGACGCCGATGATAACGCCGACGCCGACGCCGATGACAACGGCATCGACGACGACGACGACGACGACGACGACGACGACGCCGACGCCGACGCCGACGCCGACGCCGACGCCGACGCCGACGCCGACGCCGACGCCGACGCCGACGCCGACGCCGACGCCGTCGCCGTCACCGTCACCGACGCCCTCGCCGACGCCGACGCCGACGCCGACGCCGACGCCGACGCCGACGCCGACGGCGACGGCGACGGCGACGGCGACGGCGACGACCTCAGCGACGGCGGCGGCGACGAGCGCCGCTGTGCCGAGGCTCGCCATCTTCGGCAGCGAGCGCGCCCGCCGCGGCTCGGAGCTCAAGGCGGCTTCTCTCGCCGCCGCGCCCGCGCGGGGAACTTGCGGGAGCCAGCGGGGCGAGAGGCAATCGGCACCGGAGGGTGAACATGGAGGCTTAGGGGGAGGAAGAAGATGGATCGAGATGGTGGAGGAAGACGACGGAGGAGAGGAGGACGAGGAGGAGGACGAGGAGGAGGAGGAGGGGGAAGGGGAGGAGGAGGAGGAGGAGAGGAGGAGGAGGAGAGGAGGAACGAGGGAGGAACGAGGAGGAACGAGGAGGGAGGGAGGAGGAGGAGGAGGGAGGAGGAGGAGGAGGAGAGGAGGAGGTTTGAGGGAGGAACGAGGGGAGGAGGAGGAGGAGGAGGAGGAGGAGGAGGAGGAGGAGGAGGGAGGAGGAAAAAAGCACCTGCAGGGTGAGAAACGAGGAGGATGGAGGAGGGTGGACGATGGAGGCTAGGGGGAAGGAGGATGGTGGAGGAAGACGATGGAGGACGAGGAGGAGGAGGAGGAGAGGAGGAGGAGGAGGAGGAGGAGGAGGAGGGCGGAGAAGGAGGACGGAGGCGTAGGGAGGAGGATGGATGAGGTGGCAGGGAGCAGGATGGGGACAGAGGAGGATGAGAACGGAGAGGAGGAGGAGGAGGAGGAGGAGGAGGAGGAGGAGGAGGAGGAGGAGGAGCGCGGCAGTGGAGGACACAAGGGGCGGGAGGGGGGAGGAGGTGGTGGAGGAGGAGGAGGAGGAGACTCCTGGAGACTCCTCTGATGCGGAGCCACGATCTCTCGAGACCCGCGCCCGCGCTCCGCGGGCTGGCGGCGCTCAGCGGCGCGACCGACACGATGATGAAGTCGCCGCAGGCGGGGCCGCAGAGCACGTAGTCCAGCAGAGCCGCCAGCGGCGACGGGGAAGCCGAAGAAGACGGGGCCACCGAACACGATGTCCTGGCTGAGCCGCCATCGGCCGCAAACGGCAACGCCCCCCTTGCAGCAATCACACTTGCTTGCAGTGGTCGCCGTTGCTTGTGGCCTCCGCGGCCGGCTCGGTTGCGCCTGCGCCACGGAGAGTGCCCGCGTCGCGCAGCAGCCGCGCCCGCTTGGCAGGCCAGCCCACGGCGGCCGAGGCAGCCGGAGGCGCCTGCGCACTCGAGGGCGGGCACCCAGCACCAAAGGCCAATGGCTGCCCAGTCGATCTTGGGCCCCGTCGAAGCTACAGCACGCGAGCCTGAAGACGATACGGCCCTCGAGGAAGATACGGCGTCCTCCTGCACGGCCCTGCTCGCCTCCCCTTGCACGAACATCTCCCCCACATCAGCCCAGGCCTTCGCCACCCCGACGGACCTCGCCGCCTCGGTTGCAGCGAAGACGGGCTGGGATTTGTTTGTGCGGCCTCCCACCGAGCCAGGTCAAGTTTGTTCCTTGCTGACGGGCTGCGCCAGCGCTTCGCTGATGCTCACCTGCTCCTCGGGCACCGTCAGGTGACTGCCCTGATCCTCCGCGGAGCTGACCTTGCTGACGGGCTCCACCAGCGCGCCGCTGATGCTCGCCTACTCCAGGGCCAACGTCTGGTGACTGCCCTGGTCCTCTGCGGAGCTGACCTCCCAGAAGCGGTCGATGCGGGCTCCGCCGAAGCTCAGCGCGTCGGTCGTCGGCGCGTCCTCCTTGCCTTCCTGCAGCGCGGGCACGACCTCCACGAGGTCGCCTGCCCCCAGGCTGCCGGTCTCCGTTGTCTCGGCGAGCTCCGCGGCCTCAGCGACACGAACGGACTGCTCCTTCGCGACGGGCATCGGGCTCTCGGCCCTGGTGCCCTCGCGGCGACGCCGAGCGGCACGGGCCGCCTCGCCGGCGGTCTACTGCAGGCAGGCGTGCAGCACGAGCGCCGAGGCCGAGCAGCGGAGCCTCGACCGCCGATCGGAGGCTCAGAGGTGGGGTCCCTGAGGGGTGGGGTATCCTGAGCACGAGGTGCAGCAAGCAGGGGGGGCAGCACGAGGTCCTGATGCTGGCCGACTTGCCAGCTCCTCCCCCGAGTCCGGGGCCAGTGCAGGTTTCTGCTTACAGTGCCTAGCAGTCGTCAGTGGTCGGTGGAGTCGCGCTGGGAATGGCCCCCTCGAGGGGCAGCGGGTCGGGCGGTCTTCGCGCAGGAAACAAAAGTAACGTAAGTGCAACCCTGGATCCCTTCCGATCCCAATCCCTCAGGACCCCATCTTTGGACCGCCGAGCTGAGGAGCATGTCCATCTGCCCCTCCTGCGGGACGCACTCCAGCGAGACGGTCGTGAGGGCGGGCCGCGGACGAGTTCGGCATTTCCTCCATCGGCTCGCGAGGAGGGGCTGCCGCTGCGCTTCGCGACGGAGGCGGCAAAAAAGGCGGCGGATGCTCGCCTCGCGCGCGTCGCGCCTCCGCCTCCGCGCCAGACGGCGCGCAGCGGTCGCCCCGCAGGCCGCGATGACTCAGCCACGCGCAGAGGGGGGTGTGGGGAGGGGGGAGGGCTTCTTAGAAGCACCCCTGCTTCTTAGAAGGCGCGGGCCTTATCTACAGATGTAAGGCCCACGCCTTCTAAGAAGCAGCCTCCTTCTAAGAAGCCCTCCCCCCTCCCTCCGCCCCCGTGTGCGCGCCGCCAATCAACGCCCTCGGGCAGCCCCTGTAGCTAGTCCATCACTCTTCGCTCCGTATTCGCGGGCAGCGCCGACGGGGAGCGTCATCCCGATCGCGCGGCGCGGCCACACGACCGCCTCGGTGAGGCTCGGAGCGGCCCGAGGGTGCCACGGGGGGGCACGGTCGAGCCAAAACGGTTTTGAGGGAGGCGGAGGAGGAGGAGGAGGAGGAGGAGGAGGAGGAGTGACAAGGAGGTGGAGGGAGGAGGAGGAGGAGGAGGAGGAGGAGGGAGGAGGAGGAGGAGCATGTGGACGATGAGGAGGAGAGGAGGAGGAGGAGGAGGAGGTGGACGATGGAGGAGGAGGAAGAGGAGGGGGAGAAGGAGGAGGAGGCAAGATGAGGAGGAAAGCACCTGCAGGGTGAGGAACGAGGAGGATGGAGGAGGTGGACGACGGAGACGTAGGGTGGAGGAGGAGGTGGAAGAGGATGGTGGAGGGAGAAGATGGAGGAGGAGATGGAGGAGGAGGAGGAGGAGGAGGAGGAGGAGGAGGAGGAAGGAGCACGAGGAGGAGCGAGGTGGAGGAGGAGGAAGAGGAGGAGAAGAGAGGAGGGAGGAGGGAGGAGGGAGGGGAGAGGTGGGATGAGGGATGATGGAGGAGGAGGAGGAGGGAGGAGGGAGGGAGGGAGGGACGGAGGTAGGAGGAGGAGGACGAGGAGGAGGAGGAGGAGGAGGAGGAGGAGGAGGACAAGCATGAGGGTGGGGAGGAGGAGAAGGGGGGAAAGGAGGAGGCATTACGAGTGGAGTAAGAGGCTGAGGAGGAGGAAGAACAGGAGGAGGAAGAGGAGAAGGAGGAAGGATGGGAGGAGGGAGTGAAGTGAAGTGGAGGAGCACGATGACGGGGAAGAGGAGGAGGAGGAGGAGGAGGAGGAGGAGGAGGAGGAGGAGCTCACCACCGTCGTACGGTTGTCTTTCACCATCGTTTCGACGCCTCTGGTGCTCAGAGGGTGTGTTCAACATGTTGACAGATTGGTTTCTTTCATTGTTGCAGGAGGGAAAGTACGAGGGGCAGCGAAATGTGGAGGAAGAAGAGGACAACACGCCAACAGCACAGGATGCTCCACCAAGACGCCCGACAGTGCCCCGTATGAAATACGAGCCCTGCGCGACCCTGAAAGCCCGCCTCGCAGGTTTCTCCAACCCCGCATGAGCGGGGAGACTAAATGCTTTGAGCCTGGGGCGGCCCCGCGCCCATATGGGCATGCGGAGATGCTGGACGTATACGGGCAAGCATCCGAGCGCGCTAGGAGCTTGTGAGCAATACGAGGGTAAGTAGTTGCTTTCTTGTCTTGCCGATCTCGCTCGGCAAATGGTGGAGTCAAGTCGGTTCATGCATGGCTGAGGTGGGCCAACCGATGCAGATCAGCCCGTACACTTGTCGCACGAGCTCACGTGCAGGAGTGGTGAGAACGTACAATGAAGCAAACACGCTCAGGTATGTTTAAGAGGCTTTTTGCCCAGATCGATGTCCGACATTACGATGACCACCCATCGAAGACACATGCCCCACACCCCATCCAGCACTCATAGAAATCGGCATTCATCTCAAACGGCCGCAGGTCCTCACAAGCGCGGCATCGACGATCAGAATCTTGACCTCGACTCACGCGATCTCCACTAATTAGCCAGAACCTGTCCTCCACCGCGTGAAAACGTCGAGGACCTTCGTGCGCCTCCGTCAAGGGCTCGGTCTCCGCCAAAAGACCATCTATGCCGCCATGAGGCCATGCATCCGACAGTGGCGTGCTGCCGCCGCGTCGCGCCGCCGTCTTCCGCCAAGGCGCGGTGCCTTGGCCTCCTCTCAGAGGAGCGAGAGGTCATGGTGATGATGCGTTCCAGATGTCCAGCCTTTTCCCATTGTTCCACGCGGGCTGCAGAAACGAGGGCCGCTAGATACTCTGGGATTCCTGGAGCGTGCCCCGAGCCAATCGTCGTGGGCCGCTGAAGGGGCCCCTGGCCCAAGGTGCCCCCAGCCTTTCGCTCCGCGTCGGAGCCCCCGGGGCCCTCTGGGCCTCGCGGCACACTTCAGGCAGCACCCTACGCCGCACCGCGACACCATGATTCCCCGATGCTCCAGCGCCGCCCTGGCCCCCGCGAGGCGCGCGGCCTCGCGAGCGGTCCGCCGGCCCTCGCCGCAGGGACGGCTGCGACCGTGCCAGGGGCGCTGCGACCGTGCCAGGGGCGCTCGCCGCGACCGTGCCAGGTGGCCCGCGGCGCCACTGAATGGAGAGAGGGGCGGGAGAGAGAGAGAGAGAGAGAGAGACGCTCCGGCCTGGACGCGGCCAGCTGGCAGCACAAACGGTTTGAGCCAAGGTGGTTGCGCGAGTATGTTGATGATGATGATGATGCTGCTGATGATGATGATGAGGTTGATGATGAAGTTGATGATGGTGAGGATGATGATGATGATGAGATGATGAGATGATGAGGATGAGGATGACGATGCTTGATGATGATGATGATGATGGTGATGAGGTTGATGAGGAAGTTTATATGGATTATGATGATGTTGAGATGATGAGGTGATGAGGATGAGGATGCTGATGATGACTGATGATGATGATGATGGTGATGAGGTCGATGATGAAATTGATGGTGACGATTATGATGATGAGATGGTGAGATGATGATGGTGATGATGACGAGGGTGAGGACGAGGACGAGGATGAGGACGATGATGTTGATCGGTGATGATGGTTATGGTGATGAGGTTGATGATGACGTTGAGGTTGACGATGATGAGATGCTGATATTGTGATGATGAGGATGAGGATGTTGATGATACTGATGATGGTGATGATGCTGATGGTGATGAGGTCGATGGTGAAGTTGAGGTTGGTGATGCTAATGATGATGATATAATGGGATGATGACGATGATGATGAGGATGATGATGATGAGTGATGATGGTGATGTTGATGGTGATGATGATGTTCATGATGATGATGCTGATGATGATGGTGATGATGATGACGATGATGATGATGATGATGATGATGATGATGATGATGATGATGCGGAGGAGGAAGAGCGAGGAGGAGGAGGAGGAGGGCATGGAGCTGCGAGGTGGGCGCTCGCTTGGGGTTCGGTGTCATCGTGCGCCTGCCTCGGACGACGCCGAGGACGGTGACGACGAGGACGATGATGACTAGGGCGACGGCGACGGGGACGAAGACGACCAAGACGATGACGACCAGGACCATGACAACCATGACGATCAGGACGATGACGAGCACGATGACGATGCCGAGTACGATGACGAGGGCGACGACGACGGGGATGAAGAGCACGATGGCGGCGAGAGCGAGGGCGAGGGACGCGGGCGATGACCAGGACGCGCCTTCCTTCGGGGACCAGCGGGGGACGCGCCCGGGAGCGGCATGTGGTCCTGGACGCAGGGCCCAAGGCATCCCCGTCCCGATCCTCCAGGGGCTGGCAAGCCGAGGGGGCAGACGTAGCCCACTAGGGGTTGGCAAGCAGAGGGGATGCAGACGAGATACAGTCAAGACGCTGAAAGAAGGGCCACGTTGGGCTCGGGAGGGCCTTTGATTTCCGGGTCGTATTCAGATGTAGGTTGGGGAAACGGAATCGTGGCCCAAGCTCGCAATAACCAGACGATTTCCACGCAGTTCTCGCATCGTAGGCCGCATGTTGGGATGATGCTAAACATTAGGAACCTTTTTTTTGCTGTCAATAGAACAGGTAAAGGCCCATCAGGTTGAACATGACCAGATGTCGACAGCTGCCCTGTTCTGTCTGCGCGGGAATGCCGAAGCTGATAGGGCAGCGAAACAAGGTGCTGCTTTGCATCCCAGGCCGTCCCGAGCTGATGTTCAAGCTTTGGATGACCTGATGTTGATAAGCAAGACTGTGTGCCGCCTAGCGGGAGCTCTCCTTCCGCTTTGGCCCAGGCTAGATCTTTCAGAGTGTGAATACGTTCCCACCGCTACACCGAGACCACCCAAGGAGGGGGGAGTCCCGCACCAATGGGCTTGGTTTCGGGGGATTTGGAGGTGCGAGTGTTGCTTGAGATTCCGAAGATCCTCGGCGAATCCTTCGGAGGAAGGCTGTGTTGGCTGTCCTCCTGCCGATCTGCAGAGTATTTCGCTGCAGGGACATGCGGGCTGCTCGAACGGAGGCAGCCTCTTTGTATCTGTTAGCTGTAAATCGTATACTACTCTTGGGCAGTTTCGTAACTTGCTGGCACCCTGTCGCCCTCTGGACAAAAGGTCGGGACGAGGTAGGAATACGATGGATCGCTGAAAGCGCATTCAGCGGGGCCTGCACCCGAAATTTCATGATGTGACTGCTGACCTTCTTCCCTCCTTTGGGGACGACGGATCTTTTAGGCAAGAGTTGGACCCTCTCAATGTGTTGGATTCCCCAAGCGTTGATTTGCGCCGTGTCGATGACTCCCTGAGAGATGAGGAGGACAACGCTCCTCTCGCCGCAGCTGCCCGCGTATCTCAGGGTGTCTTGGGCGATTCGGACTAGTCTTTCTGGCCTGGGGTGGTTTCCGCTCTCTGCGTTTGCCACCGCCGTGGGTCTCCCTCGTGCAATTGGTTGAAGAAGGCGCCGCCTGCTCGAACAAGGTGGTTGTGGGAGCCGTCTGGAGTGTGGATGTCACAAACAATTATGGTAACACGATGACTGTAGGTTGCCCCCTAATCCCAGGTCTAGAAGTCTGAGAGAGTCTAGACACGAGCTGAATGGGAGAAGGCGAACCAGCGATCCTCCCCTTCTCCGTTCTCCCGGGGGCGTGCCGCGAGGTCATGAGCGGCGTCGAGACCAAGAGCCCTGGCTTCTTCACACGCGGCATCCGGGAGAAGACCTCCGACAGGAAGGGCTTCGACACGGACTGTCGCCGACTGTCGCCTTCGGCCGAGGGGAATCGGGGTGGAGGCGGACGAGAAGGAGGACGAGGGGGACGAGGAGGAGGAAGAATAATAATGACGAGCCGGCGGCGGAGGATACGGAAGAGGTGGACGTGGTGTGAGTTCCACTGTCGTTGGCGCGTTGCCCCGTCCAGGACCACGCTGGTGTCGCGAGCTGACAGCAGGACGTCCGTCCTCCTCCCTCCTTCGTCTCGCTGGAGGCTGACGACGAGAGGGCCTGCCCTGCGAGTCGAGGCCCTGCCGAGGACGGGGGCGAGGGCTCCAGGAGTCGGGGAGGAGGATTAGGCAAAGGAGGAGGAGGAGGAGGAGGAGGAGGAGGAGGAGGAGGAAGACGACGACGACGACGACGACGAGGGAGGGAGGGAGGGAGGGAGGGAGGGAGGGAGGGAGGAGGAGGGAGTGAGAAGGAGCAGGAGGAGGAGTAGGAGGAGGAGGTGGCAGAGAGAGGGAGGGGAGGAGGAGGGAAGGAGGGAGGCAGGTAGGGAAGTGAACGATACCCTCCCTCGATGTATATACGGCGTTTCGCGGTAAGACACTGCGTCCTCTTTGTGGAGGAGTGTCGGACGATAGAGAGAGAGAGAGAGAGAGAGCGCAGGAGGACATTTGGGATCTTGGCAGAGGCTTTGTGGAGAAGTCCAGGGGGAAGCCCGGGGCCCTAGGGAGGGACGAGGCTTCAGAGGATGCCCGAGAGAATGCGTCCCGGATGAGTGGCGAAAGAGCGTTCCAGGGGGGGCGTCCTTGAAGGGCGTTGGTGCATGCCCCCCTTCTAGACGCGCGCCGACCATATTCCCCAAGGTTTCACGGCCCCATCGTTTTCTTCAAACGCGTCCCCTGACACACCTTCGTCCGCGCACATGTTTCGGGCCATGTTTTGCGACCCAACCTCTTTGACGCACCCCTCTCGGACGCTCCCGAAGCAGAGGCACCCGCTGGGGAGGTGGCGCAGATCACTCCACGGCCGCGGAGCCCAAGGCGCTATCCATCCTGGGATCCCGGCAGGGCTGGGTATCCATAGGATGTTTCTTGGTCGTCACTCAGGGAGGAAAAAATACACAGACACAATGAATCGGCAATTCCCCAGAAAATATTGGAAACTATTGGAAGTGGGGGGGAGACAAAAAAAAAGAAATATGGGGAATCCCAGGATTTGTGTGTATTTGTTCGTGTGTCCCTGGGCCCCTTCAGTCACTCCGGCGCCGTCACGCCCTCGGAGAGGGGCACAATGACGGGGCCCCTGTTTTTGTGCCTTTGGGGGGCCTCTCGGGGTTTTCGCGGGGCCTTCCCCGGCCTTCCCAGGTCGTCCTGGGGGGCTGGCTGAGAGCTTTGCCTTGATTTCGGACGGCCTTGTCTGGGTCTCGTAGGGCCCATGGAGGCATTAAGAGGTGCGCCAATCCCCAAGGCGCACAGCCCAGAGCAAAATTCGCACCGAGTCTGGGTTCGGTTTTCTCTTCTCCTCTTCCTCCTCCTCCTCCTCTTCCTCCTCCTCCTCCCCCTCCTCCTCCTCCCTCCTCCTCCTCCTCCTCTTCCTCCTCCTCCTCCTCCTCCTCCTCCTCCTCTCCCTCCTCCTCCTCCTCCTCCTTTTCCTCCTCTCCTCCTCACAAGGTGTTTCTCCTCCTTCTCCTCCCTCGGGCGGGGACCATCGCGCTGCCATCGGAGGCGGCGTGGCACAGGCGCCTCCGCCGCGAGCGCGCCTGTGCTCGCGCCTTGCTGCGCGCGCGTGGCGGGGGCCGCCTTCGCCCCGCCATCGCTGCCGCCTGGAGGCTGCCGCGGCGCTGGTGGACAGCCACCACGGCTCGGCGGCGCCGTTCCCCACGCACCACGGCATGGCCGCCGCGGGCGGAGGCGCGCGCCTGGCCTGCATGCACTGTGGCTGCCGCAAGAATGAGACGTGGTAAAGCTGGTGCGGCCAGTGCAAGAGGCCGGTGGTTCTGGGCCTGGCGGCCAGCCTGGCGGCACTGGCGCTGGCGGCGTTGGGGGCGGCGCTCGCAGGGCCTCCCCGTGGCCGCGCGGCCCGCGCGCCGCCCTGGCGCACCGCGGCGGTCGGCCCCGACGGCGCCGATGCCGCCCAGCAGCTTGCGCCCAGAGGCCGCTTCTCCCCTGGTGCGGCTGGGCTGCTGCAGGGGTCGCGGCATGCGGCGGTCACGGCGCGGGAGGGCGCCCACGCAGCAGCAGCTTGGGCGCCCGCATCGCTGGCGAGGTGCAGGTCCTTGAGGCCGACGCGGACCCCGAGGAGGCCAAGGTGGTCCAGCTGGTGGAGTTTCTCCGCCTGTCAGGCGACGGGCCTGGCGAAGCCGCGGCCGAGTACAAGCGGCAGCTGGACGAACACAGGGCCAAGCGCTTGGCCAAGCCGCTGTCCGTCGCCGAGGCTGGCGCTGCGCGGGACGCGGCTGTTGCAGCCCTCGACGCAGCCTTGGCAGTCGCCGACGGGCTCCAGCAGCTCCTCGCCCAGGCCACGGAGCACGTCGCCAAGTGCACCGCGGCCCTCGACGGCGCCGCTGCGGCCTGCGCCAGCGCGGCGCAGGCCCTGGCAACCACGGTGGTCGTCCTCGACGCCCTGGTCGGAGACCTGGTCTTCGTGGACGATGGTTCCGGCGGCGAGCAGGCCCCTGACCGCGCCTGCTGGCACTCCCGTCGGAAGGTGTTCGGGCACCCTTCACCTTTTCGGGCTCGCGCCCGAGTCGCGTAGCCGTGCCCGCGCACTAGTCGCCGCGCCTGCCGGAAAAAAGTCCACGCTCAGAAGGCAGCGGGGCTTCTTAGAAACCCTCCAGCGTTCTGAAGGGCTTCCTGCGTCTCCAGGGAAGGCCCAGAAAATTGTTCAGAAGGCGGGGGGGCTTACGAGCCTTCTGAGAAGGCCCGCCCCCGCTCACTTCCCCTTTCCCCCCGGGGCTCGCCGCCGAGCGGTGGGAGGGGCAGATGGTGAGACCCTTCTTTAGGGAGCCGTGACGGGAGCGGATGGTCCAGGGGAGCATGGAGCGCATCCGTGGGCTGCGAGCGCCCAGCCTCTCGACAATTCCCAGCTGCAAATGCTTGCGCGCAATGCTCGCCGCCGGGCTTCCCGCCTCCGTCGCGGCCACCGGCTGGAGTTGTGAGCCGACGGCGATGGAGTCGTTCGGACGCCGCCCTCCCCCTCCCAGAGCCGGTCGGCCTTGAGGGGACTGATCAAGTTAAAGCCAGGCGATTGCTTGAGCACCGCTCCAAGGGTCGCCGGCTGTTGGGGCCAACGGTTCCTTCTCATCCTCACCTTTGAGCGGCACAAAACAACGGGGTCCACTTCACCGACGCTGGCGCACAAGCTGCACGCGCGAGGTCGTGCGTAAGCGCCCTCGTTTCAAATGTGCCGTGCCGCGCCGGCGGCCCGCGTCGGCCACCGCGTAAGGTCGCCATGAGCGTGTTTTTGAATCCGTTGGGCCATAACGCACGCTACGCCCCCCCCCCTCTCACCCGCCCACCTTAACGTAACGCCCCCCTCCCCCGTAGTCTGCCTCCAGCACTGCCATTCTGATGTTCGCAGGTTACTGTGGTGCTTGCAGGCTACTTTAACGTTCGCGGCTTAGCGTGGCGTTGACGGTCCAAGTGCCCGTGCTCGCAGACATGGCGTTGCGCCCGCAGGCCACTGTCGCACATGCAGGGTTCGGAAGTTTGTGCGCACGCGCGCGGGGTTCACTCGGTGCTCTGGTGCTGGCAGGGCCGCGAGAGTTATGGTAGCGACATTGATAGCAGAAGTAGCGGCAATAGCCGCAGCAATAAAAGTGAGATCAGGAGGAGGAGGAGGAGGAGGAGAAGGAGGGAGGGGGGAACGGGGTGTCCTTGTAATCGTCGTCGTGGTTGTCTTGTGGGTCGTGGTGATCGTTGTTGTGGTTGTTGTAATTGTTGTCATCGTCGTCGAAATCGCCATGGTCGTCGTGTTCATTTTGGTCGTAACGATATGCGTCGTCGACGTGTGGTCATTTTTGTGACCGTCGTCGTGACATTCGCGGTCGTCGTAGTATTGGTAATCGTCGCGATCGTCGTCGTGATCGTTGTAGCTGTCGTTATCGTGGTCGCCGTCGTATGGTCGTCGAGATCGAAGTCGTAGGCGTCCTGGTTGGTGTTGGCTTCCTGAGTGTGGTCGTCGTTGTCGTCGCGACCGTCGTCACGATCGTTGTAGTAGCTGTCGTTGTCGTAGTTATGGATCGTGGGTGGCTGTATTATTACAGCATTATGCACGCTTGTACCTGAAGTTCCTGAGGCAGAAGATTTGTCTGTGGGTCAAAGAACACTTGCATAAACATCACTTCTCGGAATTCCTTGTGGATTTCTGGGATCCTCGCTGGGCTCCCATGGCGGCGCAGCCGGCGCCGCCCCAGGCGCGCCCCGCACGGCAAGGAGGGGGGTTCAGTACAGGTCCAAGAAATCCGCGCAGGCGCTGCGGTGAACGCGGCTGCTGTGGTGCACGCAGGCGCTGCGGTGCACGCAAGCACTGTGGTGCACGCGTGCAGCACGCATCGGAAGCGCGCAATGCGGTACAGATTTGAAACCATTGTCGTGGTGTGTTTCGATTATGGGGGGGGGAGGTAGAAGCAGAGTATTGTAGCACCCTTTGCTGTGCAACGTAGGTGCACAGGGCATCAAAATGACACGCAAACTGATGCTCGAAGGCGGGTGTGGAGGATGCACACACTCTGGTGCTGCACGCTGGTGCACGCATGCGCTGCGCAGTTCATAGGCGATGTGGTGCACGTGGCTCTGCGGCGGTGCATACTGTGTTGCGCACGCTTGCTGTGATGCACACAGGCGCTGTGGTGCTGGAGCCACACGGCGGGGGGGGGGCGTTACGTTACGCCCCCCCCCCATAGCGCGCGTTATGGCCGCGAATCTTGAAAAGCGTTCCATGCCAGCGTGCGTAAGACCCCGTTCTTTTCGTCGCCCACCCGTCCTGCCTCCCGCGCCCTGTCCTCCCGCGCTTCCCGTCGCATGCCCCACGCGTCTCGAGGCGCGGAGACGGAGGAGGGTGATCGATGGGTCGGTCGGTCGGTCGAGGACCTCGGGTGACCCAGCCTGCTGAGCTCTGGCTCGGGGGCGAAAGCCACAACGGCGATTCTCGGCCCAACAACTGGGCTGCTCGACGGCCCACAGTCCGCGCACGGCACCAGTAAGGAGGAAGACGGGCTTTTGGATTCAGCCTCAGCGTGCAAGGGAGGAGACGGGGGGGGAGAGGAGACCAGAGGAGACAAGAGGAGAGAGCATGGGTACGGCAGGTTCGCGTCGTGTCGACCATCGGCGACCCCAGCGCGGGCGTTAAGGTTGAACGCCGACAGTGGCCCAGAATCGGCCCATCCTTGAACGATCCGGTCTGTTTGAAAGGGCCGATCGTTCAAGTTTGAACGACTCCGCGGTGTCAGGATCCAACGCCGGGGTCGACACGACGCGAACCTGCCGTACGGTAGGAGGAGGGAAGAGGAGAAGGAAAAGGATGAGACGAAGGGGGAGCAGGCAGAGGAGGAGGAGGAGGAGGAGGAGGAGGAGGACGAGGACGAGGACGAGGACGAGGAGGAGGAGGAGAGGGAGGAGGAGGAGGAGGAGGAGGAGGAGGAGGAGGAGGAGGAGGAGGAGGAGGAGGAGGAGTGGCGGGAGAGGACCCTCCCTCCGCGTCCTGCTTCCCGTACATCGCCCTGCGTGCCGCCGAGCCTTGCTTCCGAGCCCCGTTGCGCGCCCATGGCTTCTGCAGGACAGGATCATATTCAAGGACGACGAGCTCAGCTACGCCCTGGGCAAGGAGGCATGCCTACTACCACGTCCCTCTCCCCTCACTCCTCATTACCGTTCTCTCGATGCCCCTTCCTCCTCCTCCCCGTTTTCCTCGATGTTCCCAAGCAAGGAGAGAGAGAGAGAGAGAGAGAGAGTGAAAGAGAGGGGGGGGAGACCGAGTAATGGTAATGAATCGAAAAAAAGGGGAGAGGATGGAAGCCTGCCAGTAAGGTAATTTACGATGCAGTGCACAGTGGGCGTCCGTGCCAGGACACTGGGCAGACTAGAGCCTCTCTTCTGCCCTCCCCCTCTCTTTTCTCCTCCCCTCCTTCCCGATGCTTACAAGACTGAGTGGGCGTCGCGGCCAGAACGGGTGCGAACTGGAGCTTTCATGGTGGCGTTGTCACAAATTTCAGCTGCGCCAGTAGCCCCCCGCACCCGAAGGTGCCTGCACCCACTTGACAAGGGGTGCGGCACCCCCCGCGCCGCCCAGCCTGGCGGTGCCAGTCTGAGCCGACGCGCGGGGCGCCCGGGATGCAAGTACCCACAGGAGCGGGAGGGTGGGGCGAAAGCGCGCGCGCCGTCCGCCGACGGCAGGACGCAAGCGCCGCTGCCCGCAGGCTGCAAGAGCCAATGCCTGCGACCCGCGCACGCCCGAGGCGCGCCGCGAACCGCCAAGACGGGATCCCCGCGGCGCGCCAGCGCAGATCGCACACCGCGACGCGAGAAGAAAAACTAATACGCGGTGTAAGCGTGCGCGCCGCGAGCCCGCGCCTCGCGCGCGCCGCGTGCCCTTCTCGCGGGGCTGCGCGCCGCGTGCCCTTCCCTGCGCACTTCCTCCCACTCGCGCGCGCGAGCCCTTCGCGTTGGGCCGCGCTCCGCGCGGCGCAGGATCGCGGGAGGCGGCCCGTGCGCGCGGCTCGCCCGCCTGCGCGCGGGCCAGGCGCGGGCGCGAAAGCTGTGCCCGCGCACAACGCAGCTCTAGTGTGCGCGCGCGCTTGCGAAGGCGTTGTGCGCCCACAACCAAGCAGCTTCTCCCCCCTCCCAGCGCGTGCGCAGACGTAGCCCGAGGACGCGGGGCCAGTGATCCACACAGAGTGAGATCAGACAGACGCATTCCGCCGCGCGAAGAGGACATAACGACACAAAACAGATGTATACACATTCGGAGGTCGGTTCAGATCGGCGCGGGACCCCTCTCCCCCTCCTGCGCGCTCGGGGAGGCGCCGCACGCGGGCGGTCCAGCTCCGGCCCGAGAGGTCTGCGCGGGCCTCCGACCGCTTCTGGAGCTTGCGTCGCTGCGTTTCCGAAGGACGGCGAGGAAGGCGGCGAGCCCAGGGAGCTCAAGAGAAGGAGAAGTCGGGCTCAAGAGACAAGCGGGGGGGGGGGGGCAACAGCGCCGGAGCTTGCAGGATCCTGCAGAGTCAGGCGTGCGTTGGCCGAGGATTGGGTGCAGGATCCTGCAGGATTCTGCAGGATCCTGCAAAGCCTGACTGACCCGGGTCTGGATTGACCGTGGTCATAAGATCCTCGAAGAAGGCCTTCGCAGAAGGCTCAGAAGTCCCCCGGCCTTCTGAGAAGTGTTTCAGGCCTTCTCCGAAGACACGGAGCATTTTTCAGAAGACGCGAGGGCTTCTGAGACGTACCGCCGCCTTCTGAGAGAAGGCCTTCTCCTTCTTATTCCCCCCCTCTCCCACAGCCGAGGATTCGCGCACGATCTGCGTTCACGCAGCTAAATCGATGACCTCAAAAACGGTGGCGCGTCACACCTTGATTACGCAAAAGTTCAACTCTAGCCAAGTCCTCAGCGACGACCAGTGATTGCGCGACCCACTTGGCAGAACAGCTGGGGAGCAAATGGACGAGGGGTGGGCGTGGGGAAGGGGAGAGAGTTGCGGGGCTGGTGGATGAGGAAGGGGATACGTTTGGGGAGGTGGGAGGGCGAGCGGGAAGGGGGGAATTGGATGCGCATGGGGTGAGAGGGGGGGGAGTGGAGGGGGAGGGGAGGGAGAGGGGGGGTTCGAAGAACAAACAAGTGCAGAAACATAACTTCTCATGTGTCCGCGCGGATCTCGTGCTCTGGCGCTGGACATCCGCGCGGGCACCCGAGGGTTGGCGTTTTCTTCGAAGCGGGGCCCTGGAGGATGGAGCAGGCCAGGGACAGCTTGTTTGTGGGGGTGTATGCCCAGGGGGGGGGAACACATCGACCCCCGATCGCCCATTCATCGCCGATGCGGGCCCGACAGCCCATCTCGCCCAGGAACATCTGGTTTCGCCCTCGGGGGGCTGGGCGCGCATCGCCGATCAATTGGCGATGCATTGCCGATTCCAGGTCGATGATTCCCCCGTTGAGCTGGTCCCTCACTATCGGGGGTGGACAAAGCCCCCACCCTGACACGTCGATTTGTAAATTGTCCGTTGTCGGTTCTCGAGAGGGCGCCGCGGCCGTCATTTTCCAAGTTTGCGCCCGCCAGGTTTGGGCCCGAGGTCGTTTTCACTAAACCACGTTTCACTAAAGGAGTTCTGTCCATCCCCGATGATCATCTCTCTATGGCACGTCCTTATGTGCTATGCTCAGCTCCCTCAAGTTGCCGTCGTAACACAACCGCCCATTTGAGATCCATCTTCGAAGCCAGACTCTGCGCTGCGAAGAAGTTTTTTACCGTCTCCGAGGGGAATTCTATACACGTGTCCTGCACTTGCAATGATCTGTTGACGCGTGGGGTGCCTGAGCGTCGGAGGCGAGCGAGGGGGGAGTGAGAAGAAGGGCTTCTCAGCAGGTTCGGAAGTCCCCCGGCCTTCTGAGAAGTTGTCGCAGCATCCCCCGAACACGCCAACAAGAAGAATTCTCAGAAGGCGCGAGGCCTTCTAAGAAGTCCCGCCGCCTTTTGAGAAGGTATTCTCCCTTTCACTCCCCCCCTCGCTCGCCGCCGGCTGATAACGGGCCGCTGAGGCCAAACTCGAGAAGATGCGTCCAGACTGAAAAGAACATGTCGTCGGAGCTCTTGATGAACAATCAATAAGAAGTACCCCTGTCTAGGCGGGGGCCAAAGGTGGGAGGGCCAAAAACACTGGGGACCCCCAGTTAGGAGGGTCAGAAACGAGGGGAGGGCGTGAAACAAGGGCTCCCACAAGGGCGCGTAGTAAGTCGCGCTTCGCGAATCGCGGGCCTCATTCCTCCTCCTCCTCCCCCTCCCCTTCCTCGTTCTCTTCTCCCCTGTGGGGGCGGCGCGAGAGCGCAAAGTTGTTCGCGAAGCGCGAAGCGCGAAGTTACAAAACCCCTGTCTAGGAGGGGGCCCAAGCGAGGAGGGCCGAGAACACGGGGGGACCCCCAGCTGGGAGGGTCCGAAAGACGAGGGGAGGGCGTGAAGCATACCAAACCACGGCCTCTCCCTGGGCCGAGGCGCCTCGCCCTGCCCACGGGGGGGGGAGGCGCAGGCGGCCGCGGGCGGCCCCCCCCGCCCGCCCCCGGCGCGCCTCCGCCGGCGGCCGCGCGCCAGGGGGCCACGCGCAAGAAGCTCGAGCTGGCGTCGGGTGCGCCGCGGCCCGGCCGGAGCGGGGCCGCCGGTGCCTCGACTGCACGTAGCTTATGTGGGTGGACAGACCTCCTACCCTGACACGTCGATTGAGGAATTGGCCGTTTTCGGTTCGCGAGAGCGCGTCGCGGCCGTCATTTCTGCGGGTCCAGGTCCGTCGGTTTCGGTCCCAGGCCGTTTTCACTAAGGGGAGGTTGATTCAAGGGAGGTTTGTCAACCGCCGGGTAAGAGTGACCTTTCGCTGGAGTGACCTTTTGGTGCGGGCTCGAATGGGTCTCCCGATCACCGAGCGCGATGCGACAGTAGCGTCTTGCGCGCTTGGGTTTGGCCCCCCCGCGGCCACCCAGAAGTCGCGCACCAAAGGTCACTCTTACCCAGGGTCACGCGTGCGGACAGCCGGTGCGGGCCTCCCAGATGCTGCAGTCTAGGCCTCGTAGATTTAAGTCGGGCGTGTCCTTCTACAGGAGGAAGATTCCGAACCACAGGCGTGTCCATAAATAATATGGGGGCGATTTTCGTGTTATTTTTGGACAATTTTTGCGCACTTCCTGAATATGTTTGATTTTCCGTCCAGACTCCGCCTGCAGGGGGACATGCCCGCCCCAATCCTAGATGGGGTCCGAGTAGATTGGGTCGGAGGATCGCGCCGCATCGACGATGCATCGACGATGCGGCGTGACCCTCCGACCCCATGTACTCGGAACCCATCTAGGAGGCCCCTTTATTGATGATCAGTGACGAAGCGTCATTGCATGCCCCTCGGCTCACCAAATAATATTCCAAGAGCCTTTTGTGTTGTCTGCACGGTATGTTCTTGGAGTATGTTTGGTTGAGACCAGCTTGTTTTAATACATCGGGTTCCTGTTCTAAGAACATTGGTCGTGTTATAAGAACATTCTGCGGTTCTAAGAACATGTCGTGCTAGGCTTTTAAAATGCCGGGACAGTCGGTCCTTGCTCAAAGCCACGAGGGGGGGATGATTAGTGGGGGTGGATGTCATGGCTTGGGCCATGATGGCGCCTCTTCGTATTTCACGTCCCCGGCCCTCCCTGCGCCGCACACGTGCCGCCGGCCATGATTTGCGTCCCCCTCCCTTGGACGCCCCCCTCTTGGACGCCCCCGATCCCAGATGGGGGCGGAGGATCGCGCCGCATCGCCGATGCATCGGCGACGCGGCTCGATTTGGAGGTCGATGCTCTCAACGCCAGCGTCACCGATGCACCGCCGACGTCGCTGATTCATCGGCGAAGGATTGGCGATGCATCGAGGACACCGCGCGATCCCCCGACCCCATCTACTCTGACCCCATATGGGCGGCCTCTAGTGACTGGGGGGATCGAGGGTTCCAGGAAAGGTGCCCCTAAGAGGCCCCTTGGGGCTCCGAACGAGCACGAGAGGTGCACATTTCTTCCCCCCCTCCTCCTCCCTCCTCCTCCTGAGCATTAGCGAGGGTTCTCGGAATGCAACTCATGACAGACAATATGGGCACAACAGAGCGCCTTCATCGCCATCGTAATGGGAAGTATTTTTGGGAGTACCATCAGGTACACTACTGCAGGGTGCCGAAGAGGAAAAAAAGTGATCATCACGAAGCCCACCAGTGTGCTCCTCGTTGGTCCGACCTATGACCGTGACTTCCAATATGCTCTGCCTCATTGACACTCCGAGGGGAACTTTGGGATACTTGAACAGGGTACCAGAGTACAGATGTGACAATACATGGAACATCTTTCGGTACGACCGAGAAGTGAGCTGAGCGAGAGAGGGGAGAGCGAACCTCTCCTACGGGGCCACCTCGGAGCTCGGTCTGGGAGCTACGTGGTATGCCCCCTGTCGTCCCTAGTGAGAAGGCAGGGCTGTAGCACAACAAATGGCAGGGGATTTCGGCAGTCGCGCGTAGGTCGCCTGAATCGGTGTTCTGACGTTTGACCCCCTTATGCGGATGTCCTTGTCTTTGTCCCTCCGCCTCCTCCTCCTCCTCGTCCTCCTCGTCGTCGTCCTCCCTCCTCCCTCCCCCTCTTCCTCCCGAGATATTGATGATATTCCGGGAGTGCCGTAATTCAAGCAGCGGCGAGGCGTCCTGATTTTGCCCAGAAGCTCACCGAATTGTGGTCCTAGGAGCCTTGTTTGGTCTGCACGACATGTGTTTAAAAAAATCCTGGCTGCGACACTTTGGTTTCATACATGGGCTTGGTTCTGAGACCATGCCTTGGTGGGCCTATATGAGTGCCAGGACGGTCGGCCCCTGCTCAAGTAATGGGGGGGCCGAGATCCTTGAAGGGGCCCCCCCATGGGGGCCCCGAGGGGACGCGAAAGGTGCACTTCACCCTGTGTGGTCCCTCCATTCTACGAAACGCCCGAAACACTTATGTTTCGGGGCACAGGTTGCGGGGTCAGCACCGACAGGGGTCAGACAGTCTCCTCCGACCGCCTCCGTCCGAGCACGGTTCGTGAGCCACCGCGGTGCCCAACTTCCCGTCCTTTCGCTCCGCTGACCCGGGTGTGGGAGCTGCTTTCGAAAAACAGAGGGCGACAACAAGATACAGTCTCGGAGGTCCGCGCTGATTACTGGGCGTACGCCACACCGCCGACCCCTTTGGGAACTGGCGGTTGTTGCGTGTTGCTCCTGAAGGCCACTTGTGCGCCTTTTCGGGAGCTTTTTGGAGCGAGTGGCCCTCGGCACATCCCGCCACCGTGCCTGGGCTGCGGGTTGGCGGCCACGCGAATGGCAGATGGGGTCTCGTGGGAGGCGTCCCGGGGGCGTTTTCGGGGGTCCGCGCGGATTCCTGGGATCGGCGCTGGACCCATTTTGGTGCGCGGAGCGCGCCAGAGGCGGCGCTGGAGGGCGCCGCCAGAGGGATCCAGCGCCGATCCAAGAGATCCTCATGGATTTCCGAGAGTTTATGCTAATGTCGCTTGTTGTTCCTCGATGCGGCGTGGCCGGCCAGGGGCCCTGGCTGACCCGGACGAGGCGTTCTGGAGGGCTGTAGCCGTCGGAGGTCTGTGGAGCTTCGGCGGCGGAGATCGTCTCGGCGGCCGGGGAGGGTCGAGGGTCGAAGAGGAGGCTCGTCCCGTTGGTTTTGGAGGCCGGAGGTCGTCGCGGCGGTCGCGGCGGCCGGGAATCGCGACGAGGTGTTTGCCAAGGAGCGGCATGTAGGCGAGGCTCGTTGTTGACATTCTAGCGACAGGGTCTTGTCAATTTGCGCCCAGCATGGGCACTCATGTTTTTTGTCGGCCAGGGGCCAACCATCGCGCAACCATCCTGGACGTTTGGAGCTTTGCTGGCGGTGTCCCGGAGACTTGCGGCGCCCTGTTGCAGGGGTCGCCTCGACCGCGGGGCCGCCTCGGCGGCGGGGGTCGCCTCCGCGGGCAGCCGATGATTCTGGGACGTCGTTCGAGGCAGGGTTCCAGGGGGCCCCTTTCTCGGGCGACGCCGACACCCTTCCTGCCCGGTCAGGTCTCTGGGCCCTGGGTGCGGCTTGGTCGGGATCGGTGCCGACGCACGTTGTGCACCTGCGACTGCAAATAGTAGCACCTGCAACCAACCTTCTCGTGCGCTTCATTGCTTCCTTTATTTGGTTGTCGTTTGTATATATGTACACATATACATATATATATATATATATATATATATATATATATATATATATGTATATATGTGTGTATATATACATACATATATATATATATATATACAAGGGAAGCTGGCGCTGCGCCCACGCGCTGCGCCCACGCGCTGCGCCCACGCGCTGCGCCCACGCGCCGTGGCGAGAGATCCGAGGGCACACCGCTCGTCGACATTGGAACTTCCTGGGGCGCCCCACGACTTCACTGGGCGCCCCCAGGGCACCCCGGGGCACAAGAGATCTCCGCTGGGCTCCCGCTGGCAGCCCCATCCCTTACCCGACGTGCCTACTGCACGCTTGGCCTCCTCCGGTCTCTCGGCCACCTTCGAGTGGGAGTGGATGCAGTTCAGTGGGGCGGCGGGTTTGGCGGGGTCAATTGTTCACCCCCGTCTCCTTAGACGCAGGCGCGGATGGGCAAGCTCAGAAGCGCTTGCCATTTTCCCTGCCGTGCCCCCGGGCTGCTTGTTGCCGTGATGGCCATCGTGCTTCTGATTTACCAAGAGGGGGGGCATGACTTCGTCGTAGTCGTCCTCCCCTGGTCTGCCACCTCTGACGCAGCTCTCATCGAATATGACTACTCCACCGATGGATTCTGGCTCACGCGGCACCTCTTCTTTCTGCTCGTCGTGTCCATCTTTCGCTCCTCTTCTCCTCCTACTCGCACTCCTGCTCCTCGTCCTCGCCCTCCTCAGCCGTCCTCCTCCCAACCTCCCGCCACCCTTCTCCTCGCCTCCTCAGCCTAGTCCGCCTGCGTGCTCCTGCTCCATGCTCGTTCTCCTCCCTCGAGGAAGGGCGCAAAAACGAGTAACGGGGATCGGCCGACACACCACTGGGGGCCGTGCTCCCTGGCCCCCAGGAGTGCCAATCGGCTACGGCACCGCTAGGGAGGGAGAGAGAGAGAGAAGAAGAAGAAGAAGAAGAAGAATAATAAGAAGAAAAAGAAAAAGAAGATATCGCCATCGATGGGTTCACCCACGAATGCATTTCTCGCTGTTGTGGCTCTCCGTCCGTCGTCCTCCTTACCGCCTCCGCCTCCTCTGTCCATGGGGGACGAGTGGAGGGCGACGAAGGAGGAGAGCGGACAGGCGGAGAGATGGAAGCAATGGGGGGAGGGGAGGAGGGGGACGGACAAAAGGAAGATGAGGAGGAGGAAGAGGAAGAGAGAGAGAGGACCGAACTAAGCCCAAGACGCCCGTCCCAACCCCCTCCCCCGTGGTCCCGTCAGCATTATTTCTTCACTGCGCGAAGCACCCCCTTCGAAGACCGAGCGTCCCACGGGCCGATAAATCCAGGCAGGAGCGCTGGTTTTTGAAAGAAGTTGCCCTCCGCCCGTCAAGACGGGAGGAATGATGCATGATGGGGTCAGAAAGTTCGCAAAGGTTCAAAGACAAATTGCCATACACATAAACTTTTGGCGCTCCGCGCAGATTCTTGGATCCCGCGCCTGGCCACCCTCGGGGCGCCTCCGGCGCCGCTCGTGGCGCGCTCCGCGCGCCAGGGAGGGGGGTCCAGCGCAGATCTCAGACATCCGCGCGAAGCGCCAAAAGTTATGTATATGCCATTCTTCTTCTTCGAAGAAAGTTAGCAGAGGTGCTCTCCGACAGCCGCCTCACCTTGAAAAAGAACCGCCCTCCATTCGTTCACGATTGTATGTGGTCATAGGGGATTACGAAGTATCAAGCGGGAGTCCCATTTTGAAAGGAAGAGGTCTTCCATCCGTGCTACTGTCGAAGACATGTCGAAGTGTTGTACTGCGTGTTGGGGAAACCTCAGGCGACAGCCCTGCTTTGGAAAAGGGGCTTGTAATTGCACGATGTTGTTAATGCGAGAGCGTGCGAGTCCAAGGCGAGAGCCCCGCTTTGAAAACGGTTCGCCCTCCATCCGTGTACTCGTTGGATTTGTATGGGACGAGCGTGCGCGCACGGCGCCAAGGCAAGAACCTCGTTTTGACAACGACTCCTCCTCCATCCGCTTAACTGCTGGATCAGTTCAAGACCAGCGTGCTCGGCGCCAATGCGAGATCCCCACTTTGAAAACGACCTCCGTTCCCCGTGTAGTTGATTGGGGCCCTCGAGCTTTACGACCGTCAACGGCGAGGAAGTCCAAGGCGGAACGACCAGCCCGCCCAGCCCGCCCCCTGACAGCCCGTCTGGTAGTGCTGAGGAGAAGAGCTCTGTACTTGGCAGGGCTACACAATGGTGTGCGACACGATGGAGGAGCAGGGGGGAGGAGGGATGGTTAGGAGGAGGAGGAGGAGAGGGAGGAGGAAGAGGAGGAGAGGGGGAGGAAGAGGGCTGGATAATTGAGAAACAGGGGACAGAGGAGGAATAGCAAGAGAGGGAGGAGGAGGGAATATCAGGAGAAGGAAAAAGGCAGGAGGGAAGGGGGGAAGAAATATAATCTTCTTCTTGGACACGGCCTCTGGGCGTGACCCAGGCGCGGTCCTCCAGTACGTCGGGCACGTCGCTTTCTGCGCCGGGGATCTGAAGGATAGCCGCTGCCGAAACGTGCCCGCTAGAAGTCACGCCAGATGGGGACAGAAGACAGAGGAAACAACAGGACGAGGAGGAGAAGGTGGAAGAGGATGGGGAGGCAGACCTTTTGAGACATCGGCGGCCCTGCTCCCTCCTCCTCGTCCTCCCCCTCCTCCTTTTCCATACCTCCCGCCCCCCTCCTCGTCCCTCATCCTCCTCAGCCTCGTTCCTCCTGGTCACACCATGACGCCGACAGCTCAGGATTCTGCGCGCTCCAGGGGCGCATTCGTGTGGCCAGTTAGATGTACACGTGTCGCGACGGTACGTGTAGCTCGATTGCAAGATTGGGTATATGATTTTGATGTTTGCATGCGTGCGCCTAAATGTGCACACGTCGAAACGATCATGAAACAAAACGTCCGCACCGTCCTGCGCATATCGGGTGCCATCCGGGGTTCCAAGGCTGGCCATACGGCTTATATCGAGGCATTGCCCCTGCCAGCTAGTGGTATGATCGGACATGAACTTGCTTCCCCCCAACCCTGGGGTATGTTTCGAGATGTGGTTAAGCAGTATGGCGAGTTTGCGCATGAGGAAACGGATGGCCCATTGATTATTTGCGGTTTCGTGTCAGTGTTGGGCCAGGCTTGCCACCCAAGGCTTTCGGCGCATTGCAGCACCCACGCGCGTTGCAAGCGAAAGTGTTGTAAGCTTCGGTTGGTTCCGATGGGCAAAGGTTGAAACCATTGCTCCCGATATATCAGAGAAGCGTTTGGTTACTGACGGTCGGACGCGCATTCAAACTAGTTTGGAGCAGGGGGTCCGTTAGCGTAAAATCGGCTGTCCGTGGGCAACATGTTTTGGAACAGGAGGTGTTGTCTTTTTGTCGCGAGCAGCACATCGGCGCAGGTCTAACCGTTCGGTCGAACAGCACTGCGTTCGAAACGCGATGGCTGGTCTCTAGGGATTTGGGTGCCCATGCCGTTCGCACTGCATTTGGGCAAGTAGGACTAGCTGCTGATTTCGCCCCAAAAGGTAAGGACCAAGAGGTTCACCCTGAGCGGGGTGGCGCGCGCCGCCCGCAGGGGAATCCTCCGTGGCGGCAGCGGGCGCTGACGTCAAAAATCGCACGGTGGTGACCTTTTGGGGGCAGAGGGAAAAATGCGACCGCGGAGGTGCACGGCAACTTCGACGCCATGGAGGATTCGTGAAGACTGGGCGCACGGCGGCCCCGCCCGCTGCAGCGATTGCACGGTCGAGCGGGGAGCGAACAAGCATGGAGGATCGTTGGACCGCGGCCGTAGAGCTTCGCGATTGTCGGATCAGGAGGAGCGAAACACCGCCACGGCGGGATGAAAGGATGCAGCGCCGCGAGACTCCCCCGCCCAACCCCGGAGGCCCCAGCGCTGATCCCCACGTCGACGCGCAGCGCGAGTGGGAAACCTTCCAGGCGGCAGAACCCCCGACCGCCTGAGTGTCCAGCGCGCGGCGCCCGATGAACTGCGCGCGGCAGCCCGAAGCTGCTCTGACGCGACCGCTCGATTTCAGAGCCAGCTCCACCCAAGGCATTGTCGTTGTCCGATGACAGCGGGCAGGAAGGAAGTCTTTGCGGCGGCGCTGCGAGGCGATCGGCTGGGCCAACGCCCCTTCGCCTCAATGCCTGCGCTGCGAGAGCCACTCCATGGCCGCCCGCCGATCGCGCCCTGCCCGCGAACGCGCCGCGTTCGGCAGCGCCGTCGCCGCGCGACTCCGCGAGACATTTCGGAGGCGGTTGGGCGCGGGCATTGGGGCTCGATTCCGAGGGGGGAGGGCCGGGGGCGGGGGGGGGCGATCGATTCCGCGCGGCATCTTCCGACGCGGACCGCGCAGCCAGGTTTGCTGCCAGATCCCCGCGACACTTTCGAAACCATTGCTTGGAATTTCGGGCCCCGATGGCCGCGGCGAAACTGGCGCGCGACGCGCGGGCGGGGCCGAGAGCGCCGCGGCGGCGGCGGCGCCGTCGCATCGGAGTCGCGCGCGGCGGCGCCGCGCAGACCTCGGGGGCCTTGCGACGGGGGCCAGTGCAAACGGGGGTCAGCCAGGGCGCCAGATCCTGCAGGATCCTGCGAAGACCCCCTCTGGCTGACCCGGGTCAGCGAGCCGCTCGTGGCCGCGAGGCGCCCGCGCATATTGGCTGAACCGGGTTTGCGAAGACCTGGGTTGCATTTTTTTTTTTGCGTTGCAGTTTCTGGTTTCTTGCTGGCCCGGGTCTAGATTGACCCGGGCCAGAAGATCCCCGCAGACCGTCAGCGACGATCTGCGCTGCAAGGCGCGCGCCGTCGGATTGTTCGATTGGCGCCGTTGACAGGGGACCGCAGCGCGCGCCCGTCGCGCCGCGCATCGGCGACTCTCGCGCGCAGAAGATCTCAGCGCCCCGGGGCGCGCGCGCCGACTACGAATGCCCCGGGGCGCGAGAGTTCAAGTCAGCGAATTCCCCGCCCGCGGAGGCACGGCCTCAAGCAAGGAGGCGCACCGTGTCTGGCGAGATTTCGCGGGGGAGCGCGGCGCCATCGCATCGGAGTCGCGCGCGGCCGGCGCGGCCCCCGCGGAGACCTCGGGGGCCTTGAGACGGGGGGTCAACCCACACTGGGGTCAGCCAGGGCACCAGATCCTGCAGGATCCTGCGAAGACCCTCTCTGGCTGACCCGGGTCAGCGAGCCGCTCGTGGCTGCGAGGCGGCCGCTCATATTGGCTGAACCGGGTTTGCGAAGACTTGCGTTGCAGTTTTTTCCTGCATTGCAGTTTTTGGTTTCCTGCTGGCCCGGGTCTGGATTGACCCGGGCCAGAAGATCCCCGAAGACCGTCAGCAACGATCTTCGCTGCAAGGCGCGCGCAGTCGGATTGCTCGATAGGCGTCGTTGACCGGCGACCAAAGCACGCGCCCGTCGCGCCGCGCATCGACGACTCTTGCGCGCAGAAGGTCTCAGCGCCCCGGAGCACGCGCGCCGACTGCGAATGCCCCGGGGCGCGAGAGTTCAAGTCAGCCAATTCCCCGCCCGCGGGGGCACGGCCTCAAGCAAGGAGGCGCAACGTGGTTGGCGAGATTTCTCGGGCGAGCGCGGCGCTTGCACGGTCGCGCGGCTTTCATGGGCGCTCTAGGACGCGAAACAAGACGCCGCACCAAGGGGCCAGGCCCTCGGGGCCCCGCCCGCGCGCGGCGGCGCGCGCGACGTGGCTGAGCGGGCTCTCGGGGTAGGGGTTTGCGTTCGAGGACGCCGCTCGGCCCGGCGCCGCCGGCTGCGGCGGACTGCCCAGGCAGTTCCCGATCGCAAATTGCTCTCCAGCGACGAGCTCGCGCAGCCGCTGTTTCGCGCTCGCGCGAGCGACGCCAGTGCCTGGCCGGGGGCCACGGCCCTCCAGCCAGGGCTGCGCTTTCCGTTCGGCGCGACGGCTGGAAGGCGGCGCTGCCGACTTCCTGGCTCGATCATCGCGGCGGCGCAGTAGGCGCCGGCAAGGCCCCCCCATTTGTCGCGGACCTTGGGGGTTTGCCCGTGGACGCCTGGCCCCGCTGCGCCGCGCATCTCCGACGCCCAGCTGGAACTCCCGCGACCTTCATTTTTGGGCGACGGGTAAAGCGCGCAGCAAGTCCTGCGCGAGGCGGCATCAGTTTCGTCTCGCGCGTCGCGCGCGAGGCCCGCAACGGCCGCGATGAGGGCGGCTTCAATTTGGCCCGGGATCAGGGGCCAGACGCGCAGACGGGGCAGAGATCAGAGCAGCTAGAGGGCCCGTGCCTGAGCGGCGGAAGACTGCGGGCGCGACGGAGCGGCGCGATTCTGCGCGCCAGATGTTTGCGCCAACGCCGCCGGGAAGAAGCGCTCGGGCGCGGGCGGCGCCCTGGCGCCCTGCCCGCGCGGGCGGCGCGCGAGGTCAAGCCGCGAGGCCCTTGTGCACGCGGGGGCCGCCGAGGGCTCGGCCAGGCCGATCTGGGCCGCCCCGTCGGAACGGGCCCCTCCCTCTTGGGGGCTCCTTGGGGCGGAGCCCCTGGGCTGGCCCTGGCAAGCTCTGGACTGGCTTCAGACGGCCCCGACGCCCCCCGTGCCCGCCCCTCCCCCCAGCGCTCCAGGCGGGGTGGGGCAGGTTGTGGCGCATGTTTGCGCGGCCCCGCAGGTGTCTTGCAGGCGGCGCCTCGGCGACCGTGGCTCTTGATTTCGGACGCCAGGTCTGGCGCGCGCTGTTGATTTGGAGAATCCAATGCCATCGGCTGAACCCCGGGTTCGGCGCGCACCTGCGTCGCGAATCCCGAGACAGGCGGGGGCCGCGGGGGCGCGCCCCAGGGGGCGCCCAGAGTGCGGGTGGGGGTGGGGGGGGGGGGCAGAGAGGGCAGAAACGGCGCGGGAGGCGGGGCGGGGGCTCGGGCGAGGGCTCGCGAGGATCAGGGGGGCCTCGGGGGGGGCTCGACGGAAATTTAGAAACCGCCGGCCGCCCCCACGAGGCCCCTTCCGTCGGGCCCCCAGCCCGTCGGACCCCGCGGCGCCCTCCCACTTGAGGCGCCCCAATTTGGCATCCCCACTGCCCCCGCGTAGCGCCCCTCCATGGCGCTCTCCTGTAGCGCGCCCCCAGCGGGCCTTCGAGCACCCCTCCCCGCGGGCCCCCCCCCCACGGCGCGCCCCATTGCCTCGTGGGAGATGGGGCCCGCGAGCATCCAGTTTTTGCCTTTAGCGAGAGTGGCTCCCATAATCAGAGATGCAGCAGTCAAGCGACTGGCAACCGATCTACCAGTCGCCAAGTAGTTCGTCGCATCGGTCGTTGCAGTTGCTAGCCGCGGAGTCAGGCAAGGCACGGCTGCGAAGACCACTTGGTGACGCTGACAATCATGTAGGAGAAGTCGAAGGAGTTCAACATCGATGTCTGGGCTGCTGCAGTGGACTGTGGGAAGGGTTTTTATTCGATGAACCATTCAGACATTTGAAATGCTTGGCGCGAGCAAGGAGGCACGGGTCCCCGCGCGCAGGCGTTGAAGAGATTGCGCGCGAGGC